ACCACGATGATGCTTCTGAAGGCCGAGCAACACCCACTCCCCGAAATGTTGCCGAGCAACGCGCTGAGAGCGCTACCAGCAGTCACGGACCCGGTGCCGCTCAGTTTGCCGGTGCTGCCGCGCTGGGCGCTGCCGCTGGAGTGGCTGCTGCCAATGCTCACAGCCGTGAACCCAGCCAAGACCAAGATGAGTGGCAGCGAACCTCTGACGACCGCAAGCGAGACACTCTTGTCACCAACCCATACGAGGACACCAGCCCTGTCGCCAACCCTGCCCTGAATGACAACCTCCTGGGAGCCCGGGGGTTTGGAGCTCCTTATCACACCGGAAGCCCTGGCTTTGGTCCCAAGTATGACGAAGGCTATATGTCCAATGGCAATAACCGAACTCCCGATCTCCAGCCCAAGGGCAAGGCTCTTCAGCTGTCTCTGCCGGGATCTCCAAATGATGCTGGTCAGGACCCATTCTACGCCCCCAAGGATGCTCGTCACCTCAGTGGCATGTCTCAAGGCATGGCATCACCATTCTACGATGCAGCCACTGGTCAAGGAATTGACCGCATCGAGAACAAGGACATTGTTGCTCTGATGCAGCACCTGATGGTTCGAGATGCTCAGCGCAGTGCCCGCGATACAGAAATCGTTGCACTACTGATGAACTCTGCCCTTGAGATGCGAACTTCTCTGAACGAGCTTAGAAACCTCGTCCAGGACACTAGCGACGATGTCATTTTCGCAGGTGTTGAGAATACCGAGAAGCTTCAGAAGGCCATCAATGGTCCTCGCCCCTACCCCGGGGCCCGATCGGTTCAAAGCATCTCCCAGGTTGACACTTTCAATGAGGCCGCCGCCAAGAAGAACCTATTCAAGCGAGCCTTCCAAGGCCTAAGCAATAAGGGTACGAGCGACTTCAAGCGTATTGAGGAAATCCTGATGCAGATTCTCGGCGAGGTTGACGAGCTCAAGGGACAGAGCACCGTCCCCCCTGTTTCCACCAGTGGTGGCCGTGGCCCCTCGTTCGACAACCTGCAGCCTGAGGGCCATTTCGAGCAAGATCGAGGCTATGAGCCTGAAGGCAACTCGACAATCACCCCCAGCCAGTCTGGTCACTTCTCGCTCTCGCACTCCAGATCTCGGCTTGCCAACGAACGCAAGTTTTCTGATAACCGCATCAGCACTGTTGCTGAGCACGAGGATGAATACGAGCACGCCCACCCTAGCCCGACTGGCGAGCGCAGCAACCCCAATATGCTGACACCAGAGCGATCAGGCTTCCAGCGTGGAAGTTCTGTTCCTCTTGATACGCCCCCTCAACCGTCTGGTGTTACTCAACCAATGAGCAATGAGAACACACCTCGCACAACAGAGAAGCAAAAAAAGCACAAGTCCGGTCTTTCGGGCTGGTTCCCTAAGATTTCCAGGTGGTCTGGAACGACAGCCTCCAGCGCTGGCAAAGGCAAGAAGGAAGCCAAGTACGATGATTACCCTCCCTCGCGCTCAGGGTCTAGCCTAGGCGAGTACAACGATGGGGATTACAGTCATGCCCCGTACGCAGAGGACCAGCTACATACTGGATTCTCTCAGCAAGAGCTCGCATCGGCGCCCAATGCCGGTGACGCTATGCCAGCGCCTCTCCGCCGCGAAATCAACCATACCCCAGGCAATACACCCAAGTATCAGGTTCACCGAAACTCACTGAACTTACAGCACCCCCAGCCCAGACAGGGCCAGACAGAGCGCTTCCGCAATGCTCTGGAGTTCTCTGCTCAAGAATATAACGTCCCCATGACACCTAGGTCGGCAGATTGGGGTGGTTCGGTTTCGAGCTTGAACCAGATGGCTCAAAACACCAACCGATACAGCCAGGCATCATCGACAGGTGCTCCTCAGGACCCTGCCTACTGGACCACATCCCCAACCGGCCCCCCTCGACCTCCCAAGGAGCCCATCGAGCCCACTGGTAGTCCCTCAGCTCTATCTCCCCCCAGGGGTAGCCGCATCTCCAAGTTGGCCAAGGGTAGCCCCGCCCCTCACCCCAGTGATGAGAGCGGATACGCTACTATGAGTGGCACACATGTCAGCCACCTCACAAGCAGCCCCAAGCCTGAGAACCGTAACCTCAATGCTGCTTTGGGTGTTCCTACTCGTCGACCTAGTGGGCCACGAGCCATGACCCCTAAGAGCCCTGAGGATGAAGCTCGTCGACGCAAGCGAGGTAAGTTACATCTGATCCGTATCTAATATTCATGTCTCTAACCATGGAAAGCAGATACCTTCGGCAGTGTTGCATCCCATAACACAGATGACACGGAGACCTTTTAAAAAGGGGATAACCGTGGCAGCCGTCCACTACCGGGATGCTGATCGATATCTCATCGAGAATGATACAGTGCTTTGCTTTTCTTGACACCCAACTTGACTCTCCTTCTGGAGGTTCTGGCTGGTGGTCAGTTGTATGAACTTTTTATGGACATGAAACGGCCTTGAAGTGGGTGAATTTGCTATTAGCGAGAAAAAGAAAGGCAGCTTTAGACTGAAGGGGGTGGCCAGCTGAAACAGCATCAAGGTGAAGGGCTTAATGAACAAACAACCGAACAACCAAGGAAACGGAGAAGAAGAAAAAAAAATAGGGGATGGAAAGGTGTTGACAAATACCGAAAGAGAAAACAAAGAGGAGAAAAGGGTGCAGGAAAGGGACGTATTTGCATACAGGGGCTTTTGCTTCAATTCTTGACGACGACATGACATGGCTTTCTTACTGCAGAGCGATACGTCAATGGTTTGATTTGCGAGCAATGACTTAACTCGGATTGGATATTATGAGCGGAAAGAGGATGGATGCTATGCCAGGATAGCACAAGTACAAGCACAAGGACAAGCACAAGCACAGGTGAAAGGACGTGATGTGTGTGAACATATTTTCAAGTTAGATAGTTGGGGGTTGGGGTTGGGGTTCCTGGTTGTGTTTAGCTTTGTGAGCGTGAGATAGATACCATAACCACCGATATTGGCTGTAATTGGGAATGAAAGGACTTCAATCGATATACACCCAGAGAAATACCACCACAATGTATCATGTTCCTTTGCAAGTAAAACAATCGCTTCTCCAGCCAGCGCTATATAATGATACCCATAGTTTAGGTCTTCGCTATCAGTTAGGCACCTTAGTGATTGCTTGGGTTTGGGAATGATAATGATTGATTAGTCGAGGTTTTAGCGTACCTAGCTAGGTAGGTACGGCCCCAGAGTATCCGGGGGAAGGCCTCAAAGTCCGGAGACCGCCAACTGAGGAGGGAGCGTCCCTTGGACTACCTAAGGTACCTACTAACTTACGGGCAGCGATGTTCAATGGATCGCTCCGACTTCGGTGAAGAAGTACCGGTGCATGCAGCTCCCCCAGGTCCGGCGAATAACGATCATCAAAAAGTTGTATGCGTCAGCATTCAACTTCTGAAACGGGGACTTTTTGACATCTCTTCAATTCGAATGCTTTCATGGCTACAAGATCTTATTATCCCATATATTTTTTATCTGATATTTCTTCTTGTCTGAAACAGAAGCTTCGCCATTGTGCACTGAGCTCGAGCATCAGCTCTTCCTAAAGCTGCTGTTCACTCCTTTGAGGAGATTCATGACGAATAGACTCGCAGGAGTCAAAACACACACAGACAATGGCTGCAGATGTGCAAGGGAAGATCATATTGAATGAGCCAGAACCCATCAAGACAAAGGAAAAGATGACGAGTAACGTCGGTGGTGGAAGCGGTGCACATGATTACAAAGGCTTTGTCGCGGGTGTCTTCAGCGGCATCGCCAAGCTCTCAGGTATGTGTCCCTTGTCATGACATGACGGCTCGAGATGCAAATATTGACAGACTTTTCATAGTTGGCCATCCATTTGACACTATCAAGGTCCGTCTACAAACGACAGACTCAAGTCGCTTCAGTGGCCCTCTGCAATGCGTCACGCAGACTATTCGCCATGAGGGCTTTCGCGGGCTCTACAAGGGCGCAACACCGCCTTTGGTCGGATGGATGTTTATGGACTCGGTCATGCTGGGCTCGCTCACCGTCTATCGTCGTCTTCTCTCAGAACATGTCTTCAACGTTGAACCACTAGGAACCGACGTCACGGCATCTTCACCAGGCACAGCCCCAAAGGGTTACACGGCGCTTCCTAGCTTCGGCCATGGTATCGCAGGAATATTAGCTGGCTCAACGGTGAGCTTCATTGCTGCACCAGTCGAGCACGTCAAGGCACGGTTGCAGATCCAGTACGCAGCGCAAAAAGCCGACAGATTATACGCCGGGCCGATTGATTGTCTGCGCAAGATCTACCGATACCATGGCATCAAGGGCGTGTATCATGGCCTCTCAGCGACTCTTCTCTTTAGAGGATTCTTCTTCTGCTGGTGGGGCAGCTACGATATTCTATCTCGACAACTACGCGAGAAGACAAACCTCAGCGCACCGGCAGTGAATTTCTGGGCGGGAGGCCTGAGTGCGCAGGTGTTTTGGTTGACTAGTTATCCGAGCGATGTAGTCAAGCAGCGCATCATGACAGATCCGCTGGGAGGCGGGCTAAACGATGGAGTCAGGAGATTTCCTCGTTGGAAGGACGCAGCTGTTGCTGTATACAGGGAGGGAGGTTGGAAGGGATACTGGAGAGGATTTGTTCCATGTTTCCTGAGGGCGTTTCCGGCGAATGCCATGGCGTTGGTTGCTTTTGAGGGTGTCATGAGGTCGTTGCCATGACGAGGCGCGAGCATGAGAATAATACAATGAGATGAAACAAACAAACCGACGGCATCATCTTCAAGTCAGTTCACAAATTCGGCATTTACATCACTCGGTTATTGGGACGAGAGAGAGAATATGAACACCACAAAGAGTGCCACATAAAATGGCTGGGTCTATTGGCCGAGTCCTTGAAACTTTTTGTTATCCCCTGTCCCAATTCTCCAATCCATTCCTGCGCCGATGCAATGCAAATTGATTCGATTACTCGTCGTCCTCGTCAGCCTCGTCGTTAACGACGTTGAAGAACTTGAGCTCGTAGACACCTCGGGAGGTGGAGACGACGCGGAGCCAGTCGCGGAGCTGCTGCTTCTTGAGGAACTTCTTGGTCCTGTCTATAGTTAGCGTCTTGTTGATGTGATATGCATCCCCGTGCTTCACTTCAGACACGTACAGGTACTTGAGGTAGCGACCAGAGAGCTCGTTGTGGGCGGTGATCTCGATCTTGCCCTCACCAGACTGCTTGACAACAACGTTGTCGCCAAGGTTGTTGGTGCGGCCCTCGACCTTGATACGGTCCTGGAGGAACTTCTCGAAAGCGGAGACGTCGAAGATCTTGTCGCTGGCAGGCTGAGAAGCATCGATGATGTACTGGCAGGATCAGTTAGCTATTGTGTCCCTCGTGGGGAGCGCTGTGGCTGTGACGTGTGAAACCGTCGTCACAGTCACAGTCGCATTCGTAGTAGTCGTCATTGTGCTAAATTTCGATCTGGATCTGAATCTCGCGTACCTTCTTGGTCTGCTTCTGGGCCTTGCCCGACTTCTTCTGTTGGAAAAATGACCTTAGCCTACTGCATTCTTATACGGCTCCTCTCCTCGGTGCGATGCGATGCGATGCGATACGGGAGAGGGCCTAACAGCATAGCGGTGTCATGTACGTACTGCCTGAGGAGCCATTGCGAGTGGAATGGGATGGATTTTTGTGTCTGAAAAGGGACTGTGGTGTTTTTTGTCGCAAAGAAGTCTAATCCTGCGCTTGAAGGGGAGAAAGAAGCAAGGTAAAACTCGGGGCCTCAGTTCCAAGAGGTAATTCTGTGTGGGTGCAAAAATTAGGGCTCCTCGGATTATTTTTGGTGCGGGTGGAGCGTCATGTGACTGTCAACTACCTTCCTTACCTACCTACAGCAGGTAAGGTAAGGTAGACTCGGTGGCTTCATTGATTACCTAGAATTGAGGCAATGAACAAAAACTTTCACTCGGGCTGATCTGAATCAAATTGCCACGTTCAAAGTCTGTTTATTAACTTGCCGACCGACCGCATAACACCAAAGTACTCATCACCACGTCCAATCTATGACCCAACTATCTAGGCTTATGGTTCTATCATGACGCTTAGACTTCTTTAACCAGGGCAGAGAACTTGCGAAATAGAACAAGACCTGACAGAAATGTCCCATACGTCTTCCTTGCATGATAGATTGAAAATCAGTCAAGAGCTGAAGCAAGATAACTAGATACTTTATCATTATGGACTAGGCTGAGTACTTAGGCTCTTAGGTCATGGCTACTAGGTACCTCCTGAGGCATACGCAGCCTGCGATTGGCTGTGAAACCAGTGTAAGACTATCCGAGGACTGTCCGACTCTTGTCAACCACAATCAAGTCCCCCTTTAAACAAAACAGATCCAAGTTCATGGCAGTCAATACGGATGCTGACCTGACCTGACCTGACCTGACCTGGCGCGCTCAGTCGGTCTTTTGGTTTTTGGCGTGGAGGATAGGATCGAGCAGCTTGGTGAACTTCTCAAGAAGCATGTAGCGATAGTTCATGTAGATATGGCTTAATCGCTTGCGCTGTACCTTTTCATCCCCTTCCATATGCTGCGCTGCCATCTGGGTGTCCTCCGGGAACTCATCGTTCTTGAGGATCGGGTCGAGGTCCTTGCGAATAGCCTCGACGAGCATGCCACGCCATTGCATGTAGAGCTCCTGGAGACGCTGCAACTGCCCAGCCTCGTCACCATCAGCGAGCATCGGAGGATCGCCTTCTTCTTCATACCAATCCTTCTCTTCTTCCTTTTCGACTTTATTATCTTCGCCCTTCTCCTTCTTCTCCCCCTTCTTCTCCCCCTTCTTCTCCTTCTCCTTCTCCGCGTCCTTGTCCTCGTCCTTGACCAGTTCCTCTAGTGATCCAAAGTCCTCCTTGCAGCCCTTTTCGTCGTCGCACTTGTAGACCTTGAACTCTTTAGTGATCACGAAAGCGGGCTTTTCTCCCTTCTCAATAGGAGAGTGGCGATCTTTGCTCTTATCATTCCCGATTTTCTCCTTGATCTGTTCTCCAATCTTTCCATAGAGAGCGTCTTCGTACTTCTCAAGGTCGGATTTGTTAGTAGTCTCTTCTTTGGTAGCGTCGGTCTTCTTCTCTTCCTTGTCGTGACACTTTTCGTCTTTGTGTTTGTCCTCTTTCTCCTTCTGCTTCTGCTTCTCCTGCTTCTGCTTCTCTTCCTCCTGCTTCTGCTTCTGCTTGTTCTGCTCCCCGGCATCTTTGGCTTCTGAGCGCTTCTCAGGGTTGTGGCTTGAAGCATGCTTCCTAAAATCCTCTTTGCGAAGAATTTCTTCATGGCTCAAACCCTGTACCTCTCTCGCCGCCTTTTTCCACTGGGAAAGCTCCTTCTTGGCGTCAAGCAACCATTCTTCTTGTATGCGTGCATAACGATGAGCTCGATCGCTCACCGACTTGATACGCTTTAGAACAATCCGCTTCTCGCCAATGACCTCCCCTGCCTTTGCGCCCTCTTCCGTTACCATGTGGCAGTTCGCCAGGTCGTTTGTCTTTTGGAAATCTGCGGCGTACTGCTCAAGAACTTTTCCCCAGTCATGTGCCGCTTTCCACAACCTCTTACTTTGTTTCTCGAGGTACCGCACTTCCATTTCTTTGTCCTTCAGAAGCAAGTCTTTATCCTTCTCGTCTTTGTGGCGACGGAGCAGCCTGGACTTTTTAGTGGAGCTAACTTCACGATCGAGAGAGTCCCAACCATGTTCGGACCTGTGTGCTTCACCATCAGAAGTATGGGCCTGGTGGTGATGAGGGCCTTTAGTGGTGAAGGCAGGGTTGGCTGCAGCGGTTGAAGCTGGCCTGGTCATCGTAACGGTTGTGGTTGTTGTCGTTGCGCGTAGGTTGACAGTCGAAGTAGCCGCTGAGACAGAGGTGCTGCCACTCTCGACTTCACCAGAAGAGGGTGTAGCAGAAGTGGTGAGAGTAGAAGTCGTAGTGACTACAGCCGGTGGTGCTGGTGTTGATCCTGAAGTGACCAATCCGGCTGAGGCTGTCGAGGTCGCGGACGCCTTGTTGCCACAGGAGCAGGTGTCACAGGAGCAAGCATCCGGCACAGCAACGGTACCGGTGGTAGAGGCTGCTGCTCCAGGAGGGACGGTCCCTTTAGCAGGATAAATGGTGGGCATTTCAGCGAGTACGCTGTTCAGTCTGGTAGAAGCAGATGCCCATGACTTACGGAAGCTGATGTAGCTGTCCAGGATGGGAACTGCTGCTGATGGCCCAGCGAAGCCCACGAGAAGAATGAGATCAGGACGCATCTCAAAAGCAAAGATTGATCTGACAAGTTTGGGTTGATCAGGTGAAAGGGCTAGCCAGACCTAGCGACAAGACCAGGTGCATCTTATATAGACCGGAAGGGGATTCTCTTTCCGACAGACTTCGACAGAGAGTTTTTGAATCAAAAGCCCCTTTTACAGAGCGTCTGAAGCACTCCGCCACGGATTCTACTCCTCAGTGCTGAAATCAGCATCGTGATCCGCTCACTCAACTGGTGAGGGGTATAGTCGAACCACTTAAACATCTGCCAAACAAACCCAATTCCAATAATTCCCCGAGTGCGTTGCCAATACAGCCACGGAATGGCTTTAACAAGTCCACCTGGGCGACATTGCAGCCAGAGTTCTCTCAATTCCGTAAAGCCATTTGAAAAGAGGCAGCAGAAACAGCACGTCGATGACGAGCACATATCTCTTTTCAAGTAAAATGAATCATAAATTGTCGTCAATCTATATGGCAATTATGGCGTGAGAAAACAAGTCTTTCGTGCTTCCAAAGAAATCATATCGTCATGTCAACAAACTCAACAGAAATCTCCCTTGTCGTCACATATATACGTAAATATCATCACACTACAAAGCCCGAAATGAAGACAATCTGTCCCTTCTCTCGTTCTTGGCTGTTCAGGACTTGCTAAACAGCTTCTTGAATGCACCTTTGATGCCCGATGGCTTCTTATCTTCCTCCCTCATCTGCGCTCTCCGTCGTTCTTCGTGGCGTGCTTTGCGTCGAGAGTCCTCCGTGTCCATCCTGACGTGCTTGACAGGTCGAGGCTCCTGTTCTCTGTCTCTGTCCCTATCTCTCGTCTTACTATTCTCCCTGTTTCTCTCCCGTTCCCTGTCCCTGTCTCGAGTTGGCTCAGGGGCAGGTTCCTCACGAGGGCGGCGCGAGGACCGAGGACGGGGTTCATCGGTAGAAGGGCGAGTGCGTCTATGACGTGTCGAGGGCCGTTTAGGTGAGTCCTCCGGCGGGGCCTCCCTCGTTCGATCCCTGACAGGTTCGGCGATCACAGGCTCCTCACGTGGCGGTGTGGTACTGCCCATGATACCCTCTGAGTTCTTGACGGCAAAGAACTTCTTTTCAGGCACGGGAGCGGGCGTGATGGGTTCCTCTCGAGGACGTTCCCTAGGCTCTTCATATCGAGGTCTCTCGGAATGGCTATGCCGGCGCGAGCGGCGATGTCGTCGATCCGGCTCGGGCTCATGCAACGGCTGAGGCTCTGGTTCTGGTTCTGGTTTTGGTTCTTGTTCACGAACAGGCTCTTTCCCCTTGCTCTCCTTTTCCTCTCGATATCCTGAGGGTTCACGCCTTGTGCTAGCTTCCTCTCGTGCTCGCCGTTCTGCCCTTTCTGCTTTGCGTTTGTCGTGGGCAGCTTGTTCCTCAGGGGTCCGACGTTTGCGGCCAGAGCTTCCAGAACTATTGTCAGCAGAAAAACCACTGTCTCGTCGTGGTGTTCTAGGTGGGGTGCCTGGAGGACCCGATTCGACCGTATCGGATCGATGGCGTCGATAAGGATGAGTACCAGATGATCGTCGTCTGCGCTCTCGGCCCTCATCCTCCTGGGGCGGGGCACGTGAAGCTGGTTCTTCGGCTCTCCGAGATTCACGTGGCCGTGAGTCCTCGTCTCGGCGATAACCTCTGGTTCTTGGCTCTTCGGGACCGCGAGAGCTCCTGGGTCTAGCATCAGCCTCACCACGTGAGTCGCGAGCTTGCGTTTCATCTTCTTCACGATGGCGTCGATATCGAGACTCGCCTTCGCGGTGAGACAGTCGGCGATGGCGGCCCTCGTCTTCCTCTCGAGGCCGATGAGCTCGCCTCTCGTCGTCGCCACGGTACCTGCGCTCCCTATCCTCCTCACCACGGCTTCCGCCGGAGCGATTCGAGTGATGAGAATGTCGGCGCCTACGATGTCTATCTCTGTCTCTATCGCTTCGCGACGAGTCAGATTCTCTGCTCCTATCGTCTGCAAACAAGTCAGCATTAGACTTGTGAAGTTCTTCGATATCATCATCAAAGCTCCTCAAAGAAGGAGAAACAGCTGGAAAATTGTAATCATTGGGCTCTGCATCCATTTGATGCTCCAGGTTAGGAAGTCCTCCGTTTCTGTGGTAAGTGAAAGGCGAAGGGCTGCCGGGAGGACTGAGGGCCTCGGCAGTAGCATATATGACCACGGCGGCGGCCAGCGTGTCCTCAGCACGTCGAATTGAGGTCTTTCGTGTACGCCTTAAGGTACGGGCTCGCTGTAGATCAATCATATCTGCATCTGGAATCACGATGCCAGGACTCGGCGATCTCTGGACTTCAGTCTCAACAGTGGAGCCAGCTGAGGGGGCAGCTCGATATGCAGCATCTCGGAGCCCCTCTTCAATCGTGACTGCAGGATGCCTGAGATCGTGCCTCACATAGCCCGTGGACGACTTGCCTTCGGCCTGAAAAGAACGAGGTCGGGGGGCCTTTTCACTCCGACCTGCCATCGCTGAAGGATCGTCGTGCAACTCCAAGGATCGATGCGCTAGCGGCGGACGAACTGGCACCTTGGCCGGTTCGCTTTCAGCAAGAGGAGGCTGAGACCGCTGAATAGGCTTGGTGTCTACTGGGCGGCTCGCGGCAGGGATGAAGATGGGATCCTTGGTGTAAACTTCTGTCACGGGACGAACCCTAAGCGATCTTCGTGGCCGCTGCTGTTGTGTCAGGAATGTCCGAGGCGGCTCCGCGCGGGACAGACGCGTCGATCGTGAAGTAGAGCTAGACCTCTTTGGACTCTCTGGTATAGTAGCAACTGCTTTGCCTTTATCACGCGAAGGGATATCAACAACCTTGACAGCCATGTGTTCAGGTCGGACGAGTTCGAGAGGCTTCACCTCGGCGGCTTGCACGGGCTTTGGCTCAGAACCTTGAGTGTCATCCGTATCAGGAGTCTTGACTTCGTGCAACATGTGGTCAGACAAGTCTTGATTCGGGCCCTCCGCTGATGGCAAACGTTCGTCTCGAAGGCCAGCGAATATCGTATGGTCATGATTAGGCTCTTCATCTTGACTTCTCTCGCTCAAAGCCCTGAATTCATCTTCAACTCCCCTCCTTGCCCCTGATGAAGTTGCATAACTGAGAGCCGGCCGCCTCTGAGATTCAGTACCGTGCACTGGTCGATCGCCCTCAAGTTTATCATCAGGCCACTCAGGGATTTCAGGAGTGGTGCTTCGAGTCCCGATAGTTCCGGTCTCTTGTGGCGGCATTACTTCAGTATCAGTACCATCCACTCTAGCATTCTTGTCTTGGTTTGTTTCTGCTTCAGGCTGGTGCGGTGCAGAGATTCTGTCGATGCCAATGGGGGAGATTTCTCTAGAGACAGGTAGGTCATCGTCACTCTCATCATCAGTGGCAGCTGTCGCAGTCGCCTGTCGATCTATTTCGTCATCTTTGGAACTGGTGACAGATCTGCTTTCGATTTGAAGTCCATCGTCAGAAGCGGCTGGCAGCTCGACACCGAACACTCTTCCCAAGGATTCGTGCTTATCCTGAAGCCCACGATTTGGGGCTGTAGTAGGAGTCTCTAACATCTTCTCGGAGTCAAGATGGCCGTGGTTTGGCTGTACGGCAGATACAACAGCAGCAGGTATTCCGCCGTGTTTCTGTTCATCACCAGTAGCAAAATGGGAATCGTCTTTGCTGGACGCTATCCGTGGTAAGGGCGGTGGTTCAGTTTTGACTTCGTTTTCTGTCCCTTCTACCTCGGATTCGCTGTCGGCATCAGAGTGTTCAAGCGGTCTATGCGGGAGTGCGGTACTATCGAGCCGCTCCTCATCCACAGACCCAGGTGAAGAGGACCTGGCGAGATTGACAGATGATTTGGCTCCAGATGATGCCTCTCTTTGGGCAGTAATAGCTAGCTCTGGAATGGCGGTCTCAGGTTCCGGGTGCGGAAGACCATGGTGTGGAGAGTTGTGCTGAGCAGAAGAAACCACTCTTTTTTTAATATCTGTAGCCGTCGACAGTGATGAAGTAGAATCAGAAGGGTCCAGCTCCTCAGATTGGTCTGTTGCACGATCTGGACTGGCTTTGGGCTGCTCATCAACGACTGCAAGGTTTAGATCTGTAGGTTCAAGCGGCCCAGATGGTTCATCATCATTAAAAGGCGAGCCACGTCGAGCACCAGTGGTTTGCAACACAGAGCTTGGTTCCAGTTCTGGCGAGTTGGCTTTGTGGACAATATGAGTTTGGTCTACATCAGACTCGTCACCATCATCATTCGTGTCCTCGCCCTCGTCGTCATCACCAAGAGCAAGCGCCTGGGCTCCCACAAGTAGGTCCTCTCTAGGACCATCTTGGGCTCTCAAGCTCGGTGAGTCGTGCTCTGGTTCGGTTTCATTTTCGTCAGAATCAGAGATATCCTCCCTGATGGGATTGGATGAAACCAAGACTGGTGGGATTGGCTGTCTTCCGATAGCAGGCTCATTCAGTTCCCGAACAGATTTACCCGGCAAACTAATACCAGTTGCTGACTGAGGTTCCGATTGACGGCTGGCTTCAGAATCATCATCCTCTGAGTCATCCTCGGAACCAAAGTCCTCAAGATCACTGATCTCTTTGGCAGCGTCTTCCAATTCGATTGATTCCAAGTGCAAGGCAGCAGCCGGTTCATCTGCCCCGAGAGAAACCGGCTCAGCCTGAACTTGTCGATCATGGTGACCCTCTAGGGAGATTACCTGGTCGGTTGATTTGGGTCTGGAAGTAACACTCTGTTGGTCGAGGCTACTGTCTTCATCATCTGAATCTTCGTCTGAAGCTATGGCTTTCTGAGAAATATCAACAGGTTGAGCGTCCGTGGAAGCAGATGGCCGGTCTCCAGGTCCAGACTTGAAACCAATAACTTCATCTGGTGAACTGGCGCGTGCGATAGAATCAGAATCTTCGAGCTCTCCAATGGCTGTTTCCTCCGTCAGGCCACGTTTGCTGGGCTGTGTGGCATCGCCCACGATTATGGCATTTTCTTGAGCTTCGGTGGGCTTGGCTGGCTCTGATGGCTCTAATTCTTGGACGTGACTTGGAGTTGTAAGTTTTTGAATTTGTTCCTCCGGGTTCGAAACATCGCCGCCCACCGATTCAGCCTCTGAAATGTCTGATTCTTCTTCCTCTTGCCCTCCTGGCTCTGCACGCCGCATAGCCGTGTCTTGAGTCAACTCTCGTGACGTTCGCAACACGTTGTCAAAGTCAGTTTCCAGAATTTTGGGCTCATGAGAAGATGGTTCTGGCGTAGGGACTGGTTGTAGCAGCCCCGGTGATGATTTATCGCTTTCTGCTTCGACGAGGCTGGCAGGGTCTGAAGCATCGAGAGGTTCATCGGCGGCGGTGAGTAATGGCACAGGAGTTTCTGAATCCTCATCAGAGATTACCGAAGCTGCCGGGGATGTGCTGCGTGCAACTACGGATGGCAGGTCTGTTTCCATTCTCCTAGATTTCTCATTTTCATCATGAGCGTCCTGGGCTGGCTTTGAGTGTGGTTCGTCGACATGCGTCTCGCTCTCAGTCCCATGCTGCTGAGGCTGGGGCTCGGCAATCGAAATTGGGTCATAGAGGCTGATATTTACAGGTCCTTCAGTAGCAAATCCCTGAACGGCGCCCTGTGATTGGTCTGTAAGGCCCTGTTCGTGTGGAGCATATGGTGCGGAGATTTTAGTGCTGTCATGAGCTTCGGTGGCTGGGGGACTCGTGGCCAGACCGGTATCATCGGTATCGTCCAGGTCAATAGGCGTAGACAGAGGCGTCAGACCTGGTTGAGGCACATGTCCATATCCTGAGATCGACTTCTGTTGGACATCATCTAGAAGTTCGACCTTCGATTCTAGGGGTGCGGAGTTATCTTCCGCTGCTGCATTGCTCCTTTTTTCGCCCGAGCTAGGATCTTGTGGCCCTGGCATCGTGGTTTCTGCAAGAGTTTGGTCATTCTGGTCGCCCAGTGCTACAGCTACCGAGAGCTGGCTCGGGTGGTGAGTGACTATTTCGAGTGCTGTATTTTCCTCGCTGTGTGGAATCCGTTGATGATGCTGGGTATCGTCTGAATCAAACTCCAAAACGCCATTGCCCCCCTCTTCATTCAACTCTGTGAAACCTCCCAAGTGTTGTGCAAAATCAATAGGGGTATCGTGTAATGAACCATGTTCCTCACCTTTTTTAGCCTGTCTCTTGTTACTTGGAATTGGTCCAAGGGTGTCTTTGCTTTCTTCATCTTCCTTAGCCTTGGCCTCTACCTCGTCTGTGTCCTTGACTGGCTGGTGTCCCTTCTTTTCTGCTTCGGCAGGAGGCTCGTCAATAGGCTCATCTGGTGATTTGGCCGTGACGTCTTCGGTTTCTGGAGTCACTTCTTCAGCAGCCCTAGCTTCCCCCTCTGGTGCAAGAGGCTCTTGTGTTTCCGGTTTCATCTCATCCTGAGAGACCTTGGAGTCGTCAGCTGGCTTGCTATCACTTAAAACTGCATCCCCGGTTGCTGCAGGTATTTGTTCTTGGGTCGTTATCGCCTCCGGCGCAGCTGTATCCTCTGGCTTGGGAGGCTCTTCGACAGTTCCACCGTCGGTAATCTGGTTGGTGTCTTCCTGCGCATCTGCGGGTGTTGCCTGTTTGGGGTCGTCTTCAGCTGCGGCTGCGGCTGCGGGATGTTCTTCTGATGTTTTGCCATCTTGGTCAGGCTTTTCTTCAAGGGCTGAGGGGTCTTCAAGTTGCTTGTCCTCGACAGGTGTAGCCTTTTCCTCTGGTTTGCTGTCAGCGGTTTCAGAGCCTTTCTCTGGCTCGTCATGAGCTGCCAGGGCCTCCTCGGCCCGTTGATCTTCAGATACTGCTTTCTCTTCGGCCGGCTTGATCTCACCCTCCACCCCCGCTTCCGCCTCTGCCTTACTCTCCCGGGAAGAAGATTCTGTAACTGGCTCGGCTTCTCGAGATTCAACAACAGCAGTAGACTCCTCCGCTGGCATCTCCTTAGCGGACTCTTCCTTGGGCTCGTCACCAATAGATACTTCTGCGGCCAACTTGGTATCGGAGGGGTCAGCTTTTTCTTCTGACTTTTGGTCTAAAGTTTCATTGCCGACTGCTTCCGCCGCTTCCACTGGTTTGTCGTCAGTAGTAAGGGTATCTACAGCTGACACCTCTCCAGCATGATTGGTTTCCTCCTTGGTTCCGTCTTCAGCCTCCGGGGCGCTTACTCCTGGTTCCTCTTCAGAGTTTTGAGTAACTGCATCCATCGCTGGTTCCACAGGCTTATCGTCGGGTGCCTCATTCGGTAGATCGGCCGCAGTATCTGAGGAGTTGTCCTTGTCATTGTGACCAACAGCAGCTTCAGTTGCCTCCTCAGGATGTTCTCCCTCAATTATTGCGTTGTTCTCCACTCTGACCGACTCAAGCGCCTCATGCCCTGTTTCTGTTTCCGCTTCCTTCTTGTCAGAAGCTTCAGAGGCCCCCTCTGTTCCGTGGCCGTTTGCAAGTGTTCCTACACCTGGTGTTTCTTCAGGGGTCCTGTCTTCTCCTTCTTCTAGTTGATTTGGCACATTCTCATCTGTTGTTCCTGTCTTACCAGCTGCAATTGTGCCCTCCTTGGGATCGTTCTCGGAGACATTGGTATCATCAGCTGCATGTTGTGAAGGTTGTGACGCATCCTGTTCTTTGTCGTTCGAAGCAGATTCATCTTGGTCTGAGTTGCCGACGGAGGGCGTTGATTCATTCTCTACCTTCTCGTTTGTACCTGATATCTCTTCAACCGGATTGGTCCTCTCTTCAGGAACCGGGTTTTCAGATGCTAATGGCTCTTCCTTGGAGATCGAGGTGTTTTCGACTGATGCCGTGTCGTCTTCTGCTGGGATTGCTTGTATTCGAGTCTCGTTGTCGTTTTCGTTGGGTACACTTTCGCTGATGCCCTCCGCCTCTTTAGTAGCTTCAGTACCACTTGTGGATATCTCTTGTGTGACTTCGTCGACATCTTCCTTTGGAGTAATCTCTGCCTCAAGGCTCCGGGTTTCGCCGTCCTCAATGTTGACTTCAGCCTTCGCCTCAACAAAATCGCATATGCTAGGAGCGCTAGAACCCTTGTGATGTTCCTCGGGATCTCCCTTGGCGTCAGTGTCGTTGGGCGTCTCTAATTCGGGCTCTCTATCTGAAGCAGGCTCAGAAGTATTTCCCTCTTGGGGATTCAGCTCTTCTGACTTTTCTCCTAGAGTTTCTGCATTGACCTCAGGCACTTCAATCGTTTCATCCGCTGTCTTTGGCGCTTTCTCAGCGACTACATCGGACGACTCCTTTTCAGTATCATCTGTTGGTTTCTCTGCTGGCAGTGGTTCAGTGGCATCACCAGTGGGAGTGTCCGGTTCATCGGCTTCCTTGGTAGAGGTGTCTTGAACAAGAGATTCATCCTCCGGCTCTGTGGCTAAAGGTTCAATAACTTCTCCTTCAGTCACCACTGGCTTATCCATTTCGACTGGCGCTGGCTCTTGCACAACGGGTTCGGCAATCAAGTCACTTTTCGTATCCATGCCATCCTCAGGTGGCTGCGTTGTCACTTCGGAAAGATTAGCACTGCTGTCTGCTTCCTTAGACGCAGCTTCAGGCTCGCGCTTTTCCGCCGACCTGTCGCCCTTTGCCTCCGTAACTGCATCTTCAAGCTCAACGTCCTTTACTACAGCATTCGTATCAGGACTGACAGTTGATGCGGGTTCTGCAGCCTCTTCTGGATCTTCTGGATCTTCTGGATCTTCTGGATCTTCTGGATCTTCTGTAGTAGCATCAGGTTGTTCGTGCCCTTCTTCCCGTGGCTTCGATGACTCTTCCTGGATCTCCCCAATCTCGCCAGCCTTGGACTCAGCTGGATCCAATTGCCTATCCGGAATATCATCACTGGAGCTTCCGTTTTCTGGTGTCACTTCAGCTTGGCCCGTCGTGAGATCAACAGCAACTGGCTCACCGCTCTCAGGTTTGTCAGAGTTTTCGTCTTGAGAAGCTTCGGCTGGCGTGGTTTCGGCAATAGGCACAGTTTCAGGCTTCGATTCATCATCAATCGAGCTGTTTTCGGTCGGTTTACTATTCTTGCTCTCTGTGTCTGAGGCGTCGAGTTCCCTATTGCTGGGATCGTCTGTAGGTGCGTCTTTTGTGGGCTCAGCATCAAGTTCGGCTTTTTGCGGATTCTCCTTTGTAGAGGCATCTTCAGCTTCAGGCAAGATCATGGAGCCGTTTTCTACATCAGTTCCAGCTTTCTCGGTCGTATCAATAGCCTCCTCACCCTTTCCTGTAGGTTCTGTTGTGGTTTCCGGGATAGCGCCACTTGTGGTTGCAACGACAGTTGCCTCAGCCTCATTGGCCGTTTCCTCTCTAGAATCCGCCGGCTTCACAATCTCGGTTTCACCACTGCCTTCTGCCTCGATAGTTTCATGATTTGCCTCTTGATCATCGGCAGTTATAAGCTCAAGTGAGTCTTCTGGAGAGGCTGTGGGTTCAGTCTCGGTCTCATGAGGAATTTCATGAGGTTCAATGGGGGATTCAACTTCAGCTTTGCTGACAGTTTCGGGCTCAGTAACACTGTCGAACCCAGGCTCTGTAGACGGCTCAGGCTTTACATCCTCCTCAGTCGCAGGCTCATTCGAAGATCCGACCCCTGCTTCAACGGAATCAGCTTTGGCGGCAGCAGACTCAACCGCAGGCTCTGGCTCCGGCTCCGGCTCCGGCTGAGGTGTTGCGACGCCACTTTTCCCGCCTTTCTTCTTCTTTTTCTTCTTGTTCTTCTTCGCGGCCGTGGCAGTTGTGTCTTCAGCAGCTGTTGCATCTTCTGTCGGCTTTGTTGCCTTAGAGGCCTCTTCTTTGGATATTTCCTCCTTGGACGGTTCATCCTGAGTGATTTCTGCTTCTAGCCCAAGTACTTCAGATGGCTTGGCATCAGTCACTTGGTTGTCTTCACGAGGCTTGTCTTCTGTTACTGAAGTTTCTTTGTCATTCGGCGAGGCAACTTCCGTCTCAGGAGACGAGTCATTTTCGCCAGAGGACTTCTCCGTATCAACAGGAACCACTGGAACTTCCGTTTCAACAGGCTTATCATCGACATCAATAGCTGTTGTTATATCGGTGCCTTCCTTGTCGCCAGGTACTGTTTCATCTGACTTGACAGGCTCCTCGTTATCTCCAGCGTTCTCCGGCGATAGTGTTTCCTCGGGAATAGACTCGTCCTTCTCACCCGTAACGGCCTCGCTCGCCATTTGGGCTACTGGATCTCCCACTGGTGTTTCTTTCGCTGCAGCATCGACTCCTGCTTCTACAGGGTTTGTGTCTCTTGGTTTCAAATCGTCTTCTGATTCGGCGGTCGGTTTGGTTGCAGCAACTGCAGCTTCATCTCCAGCAGAAGCATCGGATTCCAAAGCTGCTGCGGAAGTGGTATCTTCATTCCCCTCTGTGGCGTTGTGTTCACTAGAATCGTTCATTGTCCCAGAAGTCTCAGCTGCTTCTACAGTCTTACTACCTTCGTCAACGCTGGCAGCTTCACGGGCAGCCTCTTCCGTAGGCAGCGCAGGAGTAGGATCTGGATCTGGTCCCTCCTCTTCGGCTGAAGCTTCCCCTGTCCGATCTAGCTCAGAATCTGAGGGCGGAAGCGGAAGCGAAGATGATGTCTCGTTCGCAGGCTGGGGCTCAACCTCGGGTTGCAAGGCTTGGTTCTCTGGTGGAATTTCGCTGGCTTCAGGCTTTGAGTCTCCTTCAGTTGTTGATTCTTTAGCAGGTGCCAGATCTTCAGAAGAGGAGGGTGTGTCTTCTGCAGGTCCATGTTCTATTTCGGATTCCGCAACTTTTTCTCCTGTCCGGCTCTCATCGGTGTGCTTTGAGTTCTGCTCAAGGTTCGCTTCTTCTGCTTGGGTCTCTTCCGTGAGCTTTGGTTCTTCGTCTGAACCTCCGACTACAGGATTTACTTCTTCCTCTGCAGACTTGACTTCTTCCGCAACCTTCACCTCTTCTGTTGAGGTGTCCTCTTTAGGTTTTAGATCTTCCACAGGAGCTTCTTCTGCAGACTTGGCTTCTTCTGTTGAGATTTCCTCTGTTGGTTCTGAATCTTCCACTGAAGGGTTATCCGTAGGCTTTACTTCCTCTGTTGAGGAAGCTTCTTCTGTAGACTTGACTTCTTCTGTTAAGATCTCCTGTGTTGATTTTGGATCTTCCACCGAAGCTTCATCCGGAGGTTTTACACCCTCCGTGGGGGAAGCCTCTTCTGCAGACTTCGCTTCTGCTGTCGAGGTTTCTTCTATTGGCGTTGGCTCACTGACTTGTGTTTCTTCTGTAGGGTTCGAATCCTCCGCTGGAGCTTCATCTTTAGGCTTAACTTCTTCTGTTGATGAAACCTCTTCTGCGGTCTTCGCATCCTCAGAAGACTCAGGCTCCTCTCCGGACTTCGCTCCTTGAACCAGTGCTACCTCTTCGAGGGAGGAGGGAGTCTCATCAGCAAGTTTAGAATCAACTCCAAGTTCAGCGTCGTTGTTCTTCTCGGCCGGATCAGCTGTGCTGCTTTTCTTCCCTTGTTCATCCTCTGTGGCTTTTGGTGAGTCAGGCGTATCGTCCTTGGAATTGTTCGCGTCTTTCGATGAATGTGAGTGCCTGGACTTGTGATGATGAGATTTTTCGGCTTTTGTAGCTGCCTTCTTCTTCTCCTCTCTCTCTTTCTCTTTCTTTTCCTTCTCTTTCTTCTTCTTCTTCTGACTTTTATTCAGAGGCTTTATTTCGGCGGCAGCTGCAAGCTTGTCATCACCATCGCCATCCTTCTCCGACGTCCCGGATGTTTCTGGCTCAACTGAAGTTTGGTCCTTAGCTGGAGACTCTTCACCGGTAGGAGCCTCCTCTGTGGAAGGCGTTTCCTCAGTCGCCAGAAAATCTTCCTTGGGGAGTTCCGTTACAGACGAGTCTTCTGTAGCCTTCTCTGCTAGTGCGGGCTCTTCAGAAGCTTCCTCTGGAGCATGTGCATCTTCTTTGACTGATACTTCGCCTGCAGTTGGAGCATCATCCTCTGGTGTATCAATCGCAGGGTCTTTTGGCTCGGGGGTATCAACTGCGGACTTCTCACTCGAAATGCTTTCTTCGCCTGCCGGTTCATCATTTGCCGTATCGTCTGAGGGGCCTTCTGGTTGGGGCACCTCTCCCTCTTCCTTGATTGCGCCTTCTTGGGCTGGAGCTTCCTCTTTGATGGGTGTCTCTTCAGCCTCAGCAGCTGATATTTCGGTCGAAGGAGGGTCCTCCCTTTGGAATGCCTCCTCAGGGGATGTTTGTACCTTGGGTGTCTCCTTGCCGTCAGTGTCCTTGGGTGCCTCCTCCTTCTCCTCGTTCTTCTTCGACGCCACATCTTCTGATGTTGTCTCTGTCTCGGCAACCTCTTGTCCTACAGCTGGTGAGTCTTCGTTATTGGCCGTGTCCTGTGTTCCAGTCAATTCAGGTCCTTCAGTCTCCTCCTTTGCTTCCTCCTCTACCTTCCCCGCCTCCTTGCTCTCCTCGACAGTTGGAGGTGGGGGAACTGGCACAGGAGGAGGAACTGGAAGATACTTGGACTCCTTTTCCTTCTTCTTGCTCTTCTTGCTCTTCTTCTTGCCGGACGTTGTGGCTGCTGGGGATTCATCATCTGCTGGAGCTGCTGGAGGGTCTGGTGCTGGAGGTGGCACAAAGGCAGCTTCTGCAGTTGCAACGGCCTTCTCTTTTTGCTTTTTCAACTTCTTCTTGTCTTTCTTTGAAAGTGGCTGTGATGGTGTAGATGCTGGAGGCACTCTCATTAGTGTTTGTTGTGTGTATCCGCCTGTAGGTGGTTTAGTACAGAAGGGTCAAGGAAAGAAGACGATTGGCAATAAGCCCAACTCACCTTCATATTCATCCTTTCCAGGATCATCCTCCGCATCTGAAAATTCGGGTCTGGAGTATTGGACATTTGAGAAATCGGAGAACTGTACATGCCCCCAATCAATTTGTGTCCTACTACCAGGGTAATAGTTGTAGCCGTAGCCGTAACTCATACTTTCTCTACCTTGTCCGCATCTGACATTACGAAAAGATCTCAATGACAAAAATCCGGGGAGCAACTCTATTATCTTGCTTCTTGCAGCACGCCAGTCAGGCGATCGGGTAGCTACAGTAATGCCACCAAGTATTAGATCTCTCGAGGCCCTGAAGTTGTTAAGCCTCCTACCTACCTAGGAAGTATGGGTCGGGGGGGGTATCATGCGGCGCACTGCAGGGCGCGACAGCTCAGCAACAGAAAAACAATTATGGCAGATACGTCTATTGGACGGCGCCAGAAAACAGAAGGGTTGTGAGCTCAGTAACTTTGATTTGCGAAATGCAAGCCTCGGATCATAACGGGCGAACGGGTGGGAGGTCCGGAGAGGTCATTCACGAGAGGTATTCTTGAGGCGAACGATGGATGGGTCCATTTCTCTCAAGGCAGGACTGCTGGAGAAAAAAGCATGCAGGCCTGAAAAAACCCAGTCTGATTGCCCAGTCCCCTGCTTGCGATGGGCCACAGGCGCCCAAACCCCAAGGATTACAGCGACTGCTGCATCGTGCCCATGCGCAATTGGCCCATGCAGAGCCAGCGCTGGCTGGCGCCACGTCGCTGGGGCGGTTGGGCAAGGTAAGGTACCTAGGTTGGGTTCCATGGATGTGAATATCGGTACAGTCAGGCGGGCCTAACGGGGCGGGCCATCAGAGGACTCGACGAGGTTGAACAGAACAATGATGCATTGATTTGACCTACTTGGCCAAGTGTAGATGAGGCCTATCGCGGCCCAATAATAAGGTACTGTACCCAGGCTCGGATAGCAGAATCAGTACGGACCTGCATGGACGGGCCGCTGCCAGCATGACAATGGAGCACCCTTGAGCCAAGCGGCACGAGTGACAGACAATCATGATGCGATGCGATGCGTGCCAGGCAGGCAGGCAAGATAGCAATTGGGCAATAACTAGCAGACCAGCTTTGTGCAACACTGGTCAACCTGCCCTGCCTGGTAACATGGCGGATATCAGAGCCTTCAGAGCCCGTTGTCGTCCACCGTCAGCTGCAAAGTCGTCTGGACCGGCTTCAATATCGAAGGTTGTCCGGACCCGCCATCCCCACGCCAAAGGCCGCTCCTAGCAGGCGGATCCCGGTATGGGCCTCCTCCCCATGGAGGACAACATCTCAAAACCTTGAATGGCTCGGCAGGTCGATCGATGGTGGATGGCTGCAACTGAGCGGTTTAGTTGCTTCAGATGTGCAACGTGGCTCGCGTCTGAAGCTTCTTCTGGCAGACCCATTATGCATCTCGATATCGGAAGCCCTCGGGCCTCAGATGTAGGCCATTCCCCCTCGGTGGGGGGGCAATTCATGTCAATCATTGTCAATACTCAGCATTTCCAGAAACGACCTGGCTACAACGCATATCTCTCGATGAGATGGCGCCCAACCCATCTCACACCTCCTTCTGACTGGCTCCTCGGCGTCAGGCTGCTCGAGCCTGATAACATCATGACATCCACCCCCTCCGCCATTATGCCGTTGTTGACCGTTGAGCAACGTTGCCGTCGACGTTGTGGGCGTCGCGTGAGCTGAACTTGAGGTGTAGAGACAGTAACATTATCAATTTGTCCACGCCCATTGCCTGTGTCTCAAATAGAGAGGTCCACTTCACAACACGGAACTCTTGTTCTTGCGTCCCGTATTGATCAATCAACACATGCACTTCTGAATTTGTTTACGCCTCCACAACTTCCATCACAAGTAGCCAGCCAGCCAGTTTTGCTTTGTAACACAAACAAGATCCGTTCCTGGCGGTAGCGTCATGGGCGTTATGGAAATAGGGAGAGCGGTGAGTAAGGCTGGCGTAAATGGAGAGGCTGGATCGTGAAAACTCTTAGCTGCTAGGCCACCAAGGATTAACAATAAGTAACAATTGGGGAGAAATATGGGCGGCTAACATGTGAACGAGGCTGGGTCCCTTTCACGGCAGAACTTCACCATCTTAGTTTTTGATTAGTATTTACATATATTTCACGAGAACCAAGACCTATACTTGCTCTACTCGATCTCCATGGTACCTAATTACTGCTTCTTTAAAACCTACGTGAGTGTCTTGGTAGCGAGATGTGACACTCACTGCCTGAACAGGCCAAACTCGCCTTGCGAGACACGTTTTTTTGTGGGAGAAATCATCACAGTATTGCACCATTGTGCATGATGGCACAGGTATAAACGACTGTGGAAGGAACGCCAGGTGAACAACAATTTGATGGCAGCCTTTTTCTTTTATTGGTGTCTCCATCCTGCAAAAGACAGACATAGAGTAGCTAGCTTTTTCCACCTAATTGCATTCTCAATATCCTGCAGTCCATCTTAACTCTGTCGCATTTCGAAAAGGTCAGAAACCGCTGGCCGGCGACAGCTATAGACCGCTCTAACGCACCTCCCGCTGAATCAAATCATTGTATTGTGGCAATTGTAGCCTCAAAATCTCATGCGATCGTAGGCCATCCCATTCTGGTTCATGCCGCCATAGGCCATACCGTTAAAGCGTGGTCCGTTATTCCCGAAACCATTATGGAATCCACGATGAACTCCGTACGCGGGCAAGTTCTAGGCACCCTCGGTAGCCTTAGGCTCAGTCGCACTGGGGGCATACGAAGCTTGAGCTCTGTTCTTCTTGATGACTTCCTTCACTCGTTCCTCTGCCTCATCCCAATCCTCGGTATCAAGCTTGACCAAGTCAATACCATACTGCTCGGCAATCTTGCTCAAGGCATCGAAACTTTTCTTATCGTAAACGAAGCTGATGCTGACCCCGACACGGCCAAATCGACCGGTTCGGCCGATACGGTGCAGATAGGTCTCGGCATCTGGTTCAGTGTCGCCTCTTCCCTTCATGGGGATGTCATAGTTGATAACCATGGACACACTGGAAACATCGATACCACGAGCCAAAACGTTGGTGGTAATGAGAACCTTGTTCTCGCCTTGGCGGAATTTGGACAAAAGATCATCTCGCTCGAATCCATCAAAAGCGGCATGGAGCGCGGAGACCTTGTGACCATCTGCTACCATTCGCCTCTGAATCTCGTTGGCGCTTTCTCGTGTCTGTAGAGAGTTAGAGCAGAGATCATACGATAACCAGAACTACTTACCTTGACGAAGATGACTGACTGGCCGATGGTCATCAATCCATAAAGCTTGCAGAGAATATCGTACTTCGTATTATCATCTGGGCAGTCGATGAACATTTGAGAGATGCCCTTGACTGTGAGCTCACTACGCTGCAGCTTAAGACTATGGGCGTTAGGCGCAAACTTGCTGGCATACTTCATGACATTCTCGGGGAAGGTGGCCGAAAAAAGAAGGACCTGGATGTCCTTGGGGAGCATGCTATCAAGTTTCAGCGTTTCGTCGGTAAACTCCAACTCCGTGAGAACTTACTTCTTGACCCGAAGGCACTGGTCCCCGAGTCCTTGCTGATCCAGCATGTTGTCGGCCTCATCAAGGACAAGAACGCGGAGCTGAGAGACATCCAACTGTCTGCGTCGAATGATGTCCATCACTGTACCTGGAGTGCCGACAATGACACTAGCCCTGACGGGTTCTCCACGAGGGAGTGCGCCAGGGATCGCAGCAGCAACCTTCTTATTCTCGATAAAGCGTCCGATGGCGTTGATAACTCCTTCAATTTGTCGCGCCAGTTCTCGGCTAGGTGCAAGAGCAAGAGCTTGGGGCTGGTCAGGTTTGCTGAAGTCAACTCGCGACAATATCGCGGTCACAAAGGCAGCGGTTTTGCCAGTGCCAGACTGGGACTGCGCCAACATGTTTCGCGGCGGATCGCTGAGCATCAGCGGAAGTGATCTGCCTTGTACCTTGGAGGGCTTCAGAAAGTTAAGGCTGAGGAGACCCTTCAGAATATCCTCGCGGCTGAAATAGAAATGTCAGTAACGCTTCTTCTAGAATGAGATGACCACCACCTACAGGCCAAGATCCTGCCAGGTGGTGGCAGAGTGGAAGGGGGTGGCTTCATTGTTCTGTAGCTCGCTCAGGGAGACCTCGACATCCCATTCAGGCTCATGGAGACCAGAGCCACCGAGGTCCTCGATGTTGCCGTCGGCTTGGCCAAGTTCGCCAGTAGAGGCGGGAGCACTTTCGGCTGGAGGATCCGCGGCAGCCTCATCAGGCTTTGTAATTCGGCTCGCAAGATCAGCCATGGCGAGTGTAGTGTTATGCTGTAAAAATACGTTTCGGCGATCGCAAGGTGCAAGGAGAGAGTCGATACGGTGGGGGAGGTGGTGGTAAAGATCTCGAGGCCCTAGAGCAGGCACTAGAAAACAAACTGCCCGGCAAGATCACGACGTTCCTTTAATCTGCACGAGCCGGCGCCGAGTAGGCTTTGAAAAGAGATGTAGAAACTGAGGAAGGCTTGAGGTATGGGTTAGCCTAAGTCGAGAGAAATACTCAGGCAGGTGGATACTTAGGTAGGTAGGTAGGTATGAACAAAAGCTCATGCAAGTTGCCGTGAGGTAATGAGAGGTGAATGGACCGGGAAGCTTCCTTCTCCAAAGTTTTGGCGGGGTCCAAGTTACTAAGGTATTGGAGGGGTACATGCCCCTGGAGAGCAGGGCAGGCGAGGCCCTAGGAAGGTACCTAAGTACCTACCTACCGATTGGGTGGGGGCCCACTCAAGTTTCAATCCATCAATGCTCGCCTTAGTAGGTACCTATAACGTGGGCGACTACCGCTAATTACCCGGCGCATTTGCTCTCACATCAGACTCATACAGTTGTGTATAAAACAAGATAACTTCGGCATAAAGCTCAAGACTCAACTTACGCAACCATCCCTTGAACTAGGAAATATCAAGACTCGTCTCTTCAAGCTTTCATAGCTCCATACATCATACAATAGTCCTGAATAACAACAATGGCAGCTCCGCCGCCGCCGCCGCCTCAAGGAGGGCTATCTCTCTATGAGAACCTACTGGATCCCAATGATACGCCTTCAACCTCAGCGACAATATCTTCAGCCCCTGTTCTGTACAGCCAAACAGAAGACACATCTGCAGAAATTTCCGTCAAGAAGCCCATTGATCCCGCCCTTCGCTTTCAACCTATACGTCGTCCACAGGTGAAGCAAGCCAAGCCAAAGCCGGCATTCCCCAAGCCGGCTGTTTCTAAGCAGGCTTTGAATCCTGCTCCTCCCGTTCCTGTGCAACCGAAGACTACGCTTGCAGACTGGGCCGCCACTGAGGAAGATGAGTGGATGTATGGTATGGGCGAAAAGCGTCAGCGTGGCGGCCGCAAGAAGAAGAAAAAGAGACAACAAGAGGAATTTGAGACAAACTGGGACGATATTTATGACCCTACGCGGCCAACTAATGTTGAAGAATACCTGCATAGTGATGAGAAAGTCCAAGAGGTCAGAGATTGGAAAGCCTTGCTTTATAGTCACCGACATAGACGCGATGAAAGCGACCTCTCAGATGAGGACGAGGACGAACAAACCCGGCATGTTCCTTCAAGTGAGTTCACTGCAAACCACCTCTCAGTTAAATTCTTACCTTTGTCAGATCAGTTCGCTCCACCTTCGTCATATGCTTTCGTACCACCACGGCTTCAATCACCCCCAGGACCACCTCCAGGCGATGTTAGTGTAGCTATATCTCAAGAGGACGCTCCTCCTCCCCCTGCTGCACAAGCATCACCCTCTCAGCCTTCCAATTCAGCCACCATATCACGCGCTCCGGTAAGATATTCAAAGCCACATGACGACGAAGACGCAGCAGGGGATAATGTCGAAGACGATGCGTATTCTCCGCCCCCAACTCTTGAATCCAGTCTTCCGGATCAACCTGGTGACGATTCTCAGGGTCGGTCAAGCCGTCCAGGCCAGTCTGGTTTTGCCCATCGATTGATGAGCAAATATGGATGGACAAAAGGCAGTGGACTTGGTGCTGATGAGTCAGGAATTGTCAACCCTTTGCGTGTTCAAGTCGAGAAGCGGCGGAAGAAAGCCGACGCAGATGGCGGAGGATGGGCCGAGCCAGGTGGCAAGGGTAAGATCATTGGTGGGAAGCGCAAAGAGGAAAATGCAGGCAAGTTCGGTACTATGAGTGATGTCATAGTACTACGCAATATGCTTGAAAATATGCCGAATCTCGAGGAGGAGATTGCAGGAGGTTTGGGACAAGAGATCGGAGAAGAGTGTGGAGAAAAGGTTTGTGAGAGTTATGTCCTTTTCCAGGAATGGTATAATTAACAAAGATACAGTACGGCCGCGTCGAGAGACTATATATTGACCAGGAAAGTCGCAAAGTGTTTATCAAGTTCACAAATCAAGTTTCAGCCCTTCGGGTGAATATCCTGTTTCCTCTTTCACAACCGCAAGCAGCTGACAACCCATACAGGCAGTCAATGAACTAGATGGCCGCGTATTCAATGGCAATACAATAGTCCCCGAATTCTTCGACACAGAAAAGTTTGAGCAGGGGAAGTATCACTAAAATGAGTGCTTCTTACGACAGGTCAAGGCTAGGCAGCGGGACAGAAGCAAAAATAAAGGGGTAGAAACAAGCCTTATACTCAAATATTATCAATATGGAGACGTATACATTACAGATTTGGAGGAAGAGTCGTTTTTACCCAACCAAAGTCGTTCTTTGGCATGAAACAAGTAATATTCCAGTCAATATGCTTGTATAGCCTCCCCCTCTCAAGCGTTCGTGCTTGTGTCATATTCCTTGGGAGGGACAAAGTCAGAAGACAGATAAATGAAGAGCTTATTTCAACCATGATTGAACCAAGGAACCTGGTAGGACCTAAATGTAAAGAATAGATGACAATCAGGTGGATGGAGAAGAGTTTATATTCATAATAGACCTGCAACGAGGCAATCCTTGATAGAAGTGGCAGACTGAAAAGATTCCTGATGACTCAATAATCAGAACGAAAAAGAAGCGCTTATCACGAGCTAAACATCTTTATGAGTTAGGAGAAATGCCAATTTTCAGGGCTCGGCGAACATGATCGCAAGAATAAAGTCCAAATACAATCGATTATTAAGCTCTAACAGGTTATCCTTTACACGCAGTTACCCCACCCCATGAAAAGCATTTTGTGCCCCTTGATGACCAAGCACAATATGTCGTAGAGAAAAGTCAGGAAACATGATGACGACGATAATGACGCCTCTAAGAGAAAATCCAGCAATCTTCATCTCCGTGCTTAAAACAGCTGGGCAACGGCAGCAACACCTGCAAGAGCAAGAACAGCCATGTTGACGCTGACAATGCCGGCAGCATCCTCCTTGTCGTCACTGTTGCTGCTATCGGATGAGCCGTCGCTCTCCTCACCACCGTCCTTACCCTCGTTGGCCTCCTTGTTGTTGGATGTACACTTCTCCTCACCATCGATCTTGTTGTCCTTCTTCAGGTTGTCAAAGTAATCACAGAACTCCTTGATATCGGTGGTCGAGGAAACAACGACGCTGCCACTAACTTGATCAAGCTTGGGAAGTTCCACCCTAGAAACCACTCGTTAGACTTGGTAATGCTATATGCTAGGGGGATTCTACTCACTTCTCGAAGCTGCCTCGGAGGGCAACACCACCAGTTACCTTCTCGAGCTTGGGGAAACCATCAATAGCATCAAGCTTGGTATTGTTCTGGATGGTGAAACCGCCGCCAATCTCCTCAAGAACGGGGAAGGAAACGTTGGTGAGCTTTTTCATGTCGATAAGGGACAGAGTCTCTGTGATTGTGGTCAGGTTGGGGGCGGAGAAAGTCTGAAGCTCGGGGTTGGCGTTCAATTTCAAGCTCTTGGTCACCTCCTGAAGAGCAGGAACCTTGAAGGACTTGGCGCTAGAAATCTGGATCTCGGCAGCAGTCTCGAGCTTGTTCATCGTAATTTCCATAACGTCGTTGCCATTGTCGAAGATCAGGAGCTGGGTAGTAACGTTAACAAGGTCGGAGTTGAAAGCGTTCATCTTTCGGTTGTTGTCGATCTGGAAACTCTCGACACTGGCGACGCTGAGACCGCTAAGATCACTGATGAAAGTGTCGGTAATTCGAATGCTCTTGATCTTAGTAACGCCTTCGGTACCGAAGTTCAGCTCGCCGAGCCGGGGAAGCTTGATGAAGCTAAGCTCTCCCAGGCTCTCAAGTGAGGAGAAGTCGAGGTTGTTGAGAGCCTCGAGGTTGTTGAGCTCGAATGTTCCAGTGATAGAATTAATAGAGGTACTGGAGAGAGAGATAAGGTCTCCAGCGTTCTTGGCCTGGAAGTTGCCTTTGATCTGCTTGGGGCCGTTGATGACAACGGCGCCAGAAACAGACTTGTCAATGATGACATCGGCATCAACAACATCGCAGCTGATGACTTGTGTAGGTTCGGTGATCTTGATGTCTTTGGTGCAAGTGGCAGCTAGACAAGGTTACTGTTAAAAGGATATCCGAGAGGTTGTATCTGATTTCACCCACCAGAAACGGCAGAGACACCGAGGGCCGCAATGGCTGAGAGGACCTTGACGGAATGCATTATGACCTGGATAAACAAGCAATTAGATAACGTTGATTATACACGATTGCGGGACGGAGGGCTGTGGATTGGTCTGTCGCGGTGGTCCCTATCAATGTCGTTCCAAAGTAGAGCCGCCTCGAAAGAAACGATGTTGATGATGAGTGGTGTGAAGCGAGCGACTGCAATACGACATCGTGGAGATAGCGGTGCTTGATAGCAAGGTGCCTTTTGGCAGGAAAGGGGATGTCCAATGGCAACCAACCTAGAAGGAATATGCGAAGGGGGAGGAGAGGAGATGCGTCAAGTCTAATCGTAGGCAAGAAATGACCAAATCGCAAAAGTGAATAGAGGAAGAGCGTACAGGAAGATTATTTGAGGCAGGTGAAGGAAGAAAGAAAACAAGACGGCAAGAAAGACGGGACGGATCGGTTGAAACCAATCAAGGAGCACAAGCCAAGTAAATAGGCGTCTCGGCAAGCACCTCGCAATGGATGGAGCCAGTCGACCGAGCGATGAATGTTCGTACGTACCTAATTTGTAAGGGGAAAGGATTCTTCCTGTGGTTTTCTTGGATGGTGTTGATTCTTCAAATCCTTGGGAGTTTCTCGGCGAACGACTGAGATATATCACGGAACTGTAAGAATATTCCTAGAACTAGATAAAGTCTGGCAGAGTAGAGCCTGACGAAAACGAGTGGCGTGAAGAGAAAAACTGGACGAGAATATTACCGACAAGGAGAGGAAAGAAGAAGTTCGAAAGAGCGAGAGGAAAAGAGAGGAGGAGGAGACGGGAGGGAGGAGATGAAAGATGGTCGACCGAGATGAGTGCACGGTGGGAATTCGGCGCCGCCTGCATGGGGCATGGGGGAGCAGGGGAGCTACGAGGGTGGGTTCGAGTTGGACGGCAAAACCTAATAAGTTCATGGACAAAAGCAGGGCACCGACAGGTCAGTCGCCCGTTTCGGGGCCCATTCTCTCAGGGGCACTCAGACACTGGAGACCAAAAAGGAACCAGTACCGGCCCAAGGCGATGCCAGGGCGAGCTGGACTCCAGACTCCAGTGTGGACTGGACGGGTGTGACGGTTCCATTGACCAGGTGTGAGAAATAGATACCTAGGGATAGACGGCATAGGTAGGTACTACCTAGGTAAGTAGGTAGGTACCTAGGCACTAATCTCCTGCTAATGGTTCAGAGACATGGGCCCACTGACTGACTTGGTTACGCCTCATCTGTTACTGTACATATCAGACTATCAGTGCACTGCTCAACACGACATGAATTATTGACACCGACCACCACTGAACTATCAAGACGCTAGCTAATCCATTGAGAGGTGGTTTTTTTTTCAATCTGTCCTAGTTTAAAGCAATCTAGGTTCTTTTTCTGCCTGTATTCCGAGCCAAGACCTTATGCGCTCGCATTCTATACCAACCTCCGGCTTCACAAAAGCCCAATGGCCGCGTAAGCAGAGCTACGGAGTAGATGCAACAATGATGACAACACTCTCTGACTTCCAGTCTGCTTGGCCAGCAACCAAAACAGTCAACAGCCCCAAAGAGAAAATTAGTGGGTGCATATTTCTTCTGCCTCTTTGACTATAACTGCGTTGCATATGCATTAGCGGGCTCTACCAGGTACCGCGGCTCCTATAGCCACTCCAAACGCATTACTGAATCCAGTAGGTAAGTTAGTAGGTACCTATGTATTCAGGTTTGAATTTATTCACCTATACATACATAATCGTTGGTAACCTTCTTTCATAGACGACCATTCTTAAGTACCTAGGCAAATTTGCCCATGATTCTTCTATTATTAGACTCACTCCGATATATGTACATGGTAGTAGATTGTACTTGTTATTCCCTGACAATCGCATTACCAAATTAGCTACATACAATCTCCAGCTTTGTGCCTCTGATTACATCGCATCACATCCAGACGAGATTTGCACCTCATTCACCTACGGACGCTGTTCAGAGTATCCACCTTTCGCATCCACTAGCAGGGGCCCTAAACTTCATGTCTTTAATATGGATCCTGTGTTGATAGCAAAATACCTCCCAATAAAGCGATCCGATTGTGTCATCACCTGGCATGACGCCCTTTTTGAAGTACTCGCTAACAGACGGAGACATTGCACCGTCTTCCCTGTCAAAGTCATCTTGTTCCATTTGTCTTTTTTTTCTGCCCATGTCCGCTGGGTGATTTATGTACGTCTGATTTCACGATCCAGGCTGGGCCTGGATTCCCAATCCTCAATTCCTTTCCTCCACTGAGACGTCATCATTTCCATGAGACAAATCAATCATGATGCCAGTTGGGGGCAAAGGTTACACAGCCGACCTGTCAAGCGCGATGAATACTGTATACCGGGCATATGGTAGGACATAGTCCAGTCACAGATATGACAATGATTCAATCGAGCGAACACGAGCCTATTTTAATGACATGAGTATTCAAACGAACTCATTAATCGCTATTCATTGAAGAATCAATTATCGAAATCACCAAGCATAAACACCACTCGAAGTCTCAAATCTTATTACTACTGACAATACAATACGATACGACTTTTCTCGGCATCGAAACTTCCGGAGGCTCCGGGGATAACAACGAGCAATGCTTCTCCCTTTATGGATAGGTATTTCTATCGTCATTCCACTTCACGCACTCGCTTCCCTTTCCTTGTTCATATACCTCCTTAGCATTCAGAGTCTCGGACAACTGATATGCAACGCGACTGTCACTGTCACCGGGATCCATGTGTTTCTTTTTCTCTTTCCCCTTGAACAAGAGTCTCAAGTGATGTGGTAGTCCTGTGTTTGATCCCAGCCTGCCCAGCCTTTCTTTATCTCTGTGGATTGTCACTCATACAAATGTGCTGGGGCACATGCCGCGGATAGATCCAAGGTTCCGATCTTAAAATGGACTTTTTTTTCTCGCACCGCCCTTTAACCGAAATTCGCCCCTGACTTGTTTTCATGCCATGTCACAGTGGCCATGGGTTTGGTTATCTTTCAGTTTCATGGACTCGAGATGGCCATTGAGGGATGATCTTGATTATAGTAATCTTCCAGGTAATCAAAACAACACACCAGAGCATATCGGGCATGTCTACGGAGTATCTTCCGCGTATCTAAGGCAATGGCTCTTCAGGGCTCATTGGCCTTGTTGAAAACCTCGGCCTCCAAGGTCTTTCCGAAGCATGAGAGGGAAGAAAAACTGTTATCAGCTGAGAGCCCACGGCACTGGACACTAATTTAGATCAGATATGCCCGGATTTCCTCCCGTTGACCACTCGGTTGAAACTTCCGCTGCCCAAGAGGCCACGACGGACGCCTCCATTCCATCAAAGCATGTACGGAGTACATATGCACCTAAATCGATGTTATCCGCCGCCCCTTGACGCGTTACACTCTCCACACTCACGCAGCCTAGCCTAGACAGCCAAGCCTGCAGCTTGTGTGGGATCGGGTCCGTCACTAACCAAGCATATTCCCACTTCCCGCTTCAATATCTGCGCAGACCTTGCAGAGACTCAACGATTTGCGAAGTGGTTGCACAACACTTTCATTTATGGGCCTCACTCGAGGTTGAATTCCCCTTGGATCACATCGGCCCATTTAGCCTTCGCGATCTGCGAGCTAACGTCAAGTTTGTTGTTCGCCAGACACGTATCCATGCGTCTTGTCTGATAGATTGTGCATGTCGTTCTTACTACCTTTGTTGTTGTTTTTTGCAGCCTTCACGATGTACCAGGATGCCAGGACACATCGAGGCCCGCTTCGGTCTCGGCAGCGGCGCCTTTGGTTGATTCGTGGCGCAACCGTCTTCGCGCCGTTATGGGTGAATCCACAAAAGCACGCCTCCCCTGGAGCCGATCGCCGATGGCGAATCATGTTTTTTGTGCAAGCTCAGCCAATTATATTTGCTGCCGTGATCCTCTGACACCAAGAGACATGATCTTTAGACGAGAAGAACCTGGCCAACTCATGGCAGTGTGAGAAACGGATTATGTATTATTAGACACATCCATTACATTAGACCTTATTCACTGGGTCCAGACAGATCATGAGGACAGCTGATACGTAGTAAATTTATGCATTGATAGTGTAGTATGATATCACCACTCTCAGTAGTAACCACGAAAGTGTATCCGATCAACAGAATATGGGATTGTATATCTTTGTCTGCGAGGCACAATAACAACAAACACACACTGACCCAGCAACCGAGTTTTATTCCATTGTGCTGATATCAGTCTCCTCGACTCGCCACATGTACCACATGAAGAGACTTCGATATGGTGAGAACTTAGCCGACAGCTCAGTCATATCCTGCTCCGACATGTACTTCCATTTACCACCGCCTTTGGCCTTGAGCTTGGCAATATCACGCCCCACGAATGCAGCCATACCTCTCTGAACGCCTAGATCACCGAGTGAAAAGACGTCCATCCGTTTGAGCCCAAAGCATGCAAACATCTCAACGGACCACTTCCCAAGGCCTCTCACGGCAATCAGCTTTTCCATGACCTCCGCATCCGAAGCATCATGGAGCATTTGAGCACTAAGCTCTCCACTCACGAACTTTTCTGCGAGACCTTTGATGTACTCAGCTTTGCGTTGCGATAGACCTGCTGTACGGAGCTCGTCGATCGACTTGGCAGCCACCTGGGAGGGATGAGGGAATCGGTTTCCTGGTAGCTCCTCGAACAATGTGAGAAACTTGGCCTTTATAGACTTGGCTGCAGCTCCTGATACCTGCTGGCTAATGATGCCACTGGAGAGGTTTTCAAATGGGTCTATCTTCTCTGCCAATCCCTCTGGTGAGAATACTCTGCAGTGGTGGCTCTCCACAAGGGGTTTCATGCGAGTATCAACTTTGATCAGATAGTCACATGCCTCTTTAAGGATATTCTCTGTTGTCGTCTTAGCTTGCGGTGCCTTACTAGGCGATAAATTATCAATGTCCCGTGAGGCAACAAGGCGTGACGTCTCTGGTGAGAGGAGCGTTGCGTTTGTCAGCCTGGGGTTTGCAAGTCGTGTAACAACCGCAGTACGAGGCTTCTGAATAATGCTAGTCGGCTCAGCAAAGAGCCCAGCAGCCGTAGGAGTTGGTGTCTTTGGTGGCGGAACGGCTGGTGTTGCAGGCTCGCCTTGTGCTCGCTTCCTTGGGGGTGGTGTTGAAGGTGCTTCGGGCTCGTCCTGAACGGCTGCTGCTTTACGCTTCCGACCTGTAGCCTTCGATCTTGGTTTCTCCAATGACTCTTTCATGGAAGCTGGCTGAGCGCTGATGCGCGAGGATCGCCTTGTGGTGACCATGATGCGCGTCGGACTGAGTTCTGTCCTTGCTCCGAGTATTTGTGAATATGATATGAATTGCTGTAAGGCCAGGGAGGTATGACGTCGTGAGAGCAAAGTGGGCATAGTACAATCCAGCTCACGGTAGACTAACCGCTACTCACAAGTAGCCTTTGGCGTAGCAGAGCCTTTATTCTTGAAATTGGCAAGTATTCCTGTTGGCGAAAGTGTCAGTCTTTTGCTGATTCACGTTTATGAGTCCTCGGGACATGCACCCTGTTTCATGTCATTGGTCGATCTCTTAGCGTATTTAGAGCCAGTAACGTCACAGGTTGAATATCTTACCTTCCATTACCTCCGCTGTCAGATAAGACAACAGACTGAGAATTAGCTATGGAAATACTCTTCCTGTATTTATCTCTCTTTTATGAATATATTGTGTAAAGTATGTTTCTGATCAGACTTCTATCATTTCTCAGCACGAGCTTGCGTAAGTCCAGTGAGTCTGTAGATGTTGCCGTTATATATTACTCACTTTGAAGACCGAACAGAGCCATGATATTGTTCATAAACAACATGTGCGAGGTGATACGAAATCTCACTCGCTTGTGGCGAGGTATTAGGTACTACCTACATACAATGTGATTAGTTGCAAATGTCAACAGAAGAAGAAGATATCTTCAAAAAGAACATAGCCACGACTCAATTGCTTCTTTAGACCACTCTCCAGGGTAAGTGTGTATCCGTCGCTGACGTTAGCTTTCCCACCCGCCCACACGGCAGCCGTTTCGATAGGGACTATCTGCCGCTGAAACCACTGAAGAATGGAGCTTACAGCGGGTCAGTGGAGTGCCTGGAAGTGCCAGGGACCCTGTTCCGGCCACAACCCGGACTGTCGTGTCGAGCCAACGAAAGTCAAGGTGCTGATCCGAGCTATCGCAACGTGGATTAATGTCATGTCAATAGTGCTTTTTGGTTTATTTTTCTTACCTGGATTCTTACAACCAGTGCCTGTCGACCTCACCAATTCATAATAGAGAGCCATCACACACTCGTTTTCGGTCGTACCATATATTTTTGCTTAATGCGAATATTATACATTTTTGAGCCACTCTGGAAGCGCTAGGCTCCTTACGCGACAGCAATAACCTCAAAGTCGCCAGCAGAACCCTTGTACAAAGGCGTATCAGGGTACAGTCTGCCCAAGCACGAAATTACACGGGAGCCGCCGTAGAATTCTGCGGAGCCGTTGCGACAGGGGGAATCGAAAGAACATCGAACTTTGGAAGACCTCACGTGGTTGTTGACGACAAAACGTGGGCACAGCTGCAACGACAGCGCCAGTTATCGCCTCTGCGACAGACTGTCCTATCTTAAGAATAGAACGAAAGGCCGACTTGCTGAAGCATTCACCATGCTTCTCCCTGGTGGTGGACTTAACTGGAAGGCCGCAAAGGCCCAAATGCCTCCGAGCAGAGTACTGCGAAGCAACTTGACACGATCACGATTACTTCTCCTAATAGGCGTTACTGGCATTGTGATGCTGCTGTACCGTGCTTTTCGAGCACCACCCCCGGGACCACAAAAGTCTGTACCGTCAACTCGATTCGAGTAGAGGCACTCGACTAACATGGAAACAGTGTTCGTTGCTGGGGCCCAAACAAGTCCCCCATGGAAATGACACCGAACGAGCATGCTCTATGGAATGCACACATGCAGACACCAGTCCTCTTCAACCATCACAAACCACTAAAAGTCGAATCTCCTTCGATCCAGCACATCGACCTGAACCCGATCACCTCGAGCCCACAGGCCCTCATCCGAAACGAACGAGTATTGATCTTAACACCTCTGAAAGATGCCGCTCCTTTTCTCAAGAACTACTTCAAACTCATCGCAGAGCTCACTTATCCGCACCGCCTGATCGATCTCGCCTTCTTGATATCTGACTCGAAAGACGATACACTCGCTGTCCTTGCTTCCGAGCTAGACCACCTACAAAAGCGGAAGGACGAGGTGCCATTCAACAGTATTACTGTTGTCGAAAAGAACTTCCATTTCCACCTCAGCCAGGATGCAGAGCAGAGACATGGGTTTGAGGTACAAGCGCCACGTCGCAAAGCCATGGCTAAGGCAAGAAACTACCTCTTGGCTACAGCTCTGAAGCCAGAGCACTCGTGGGTGTACTGGCGTGACGTCGATATCGAACAAGCGCCAAGACGGATCATTGAAGATTTTGTTGCGCACGACAGAGATATTCTCGTGCCCAGTAAGTCTCTTAAGGATATTCTGAGACATCATGGCACTGACACATCCGAGACATTTGGTTCCACAGGTTCGAGAAGGGCGTTGATATCGAAGGTCGATGTAGGTTCCTCAAGTCTAGCTATGACCTGAGACTTACTAATTTGCAATCGCAGTCGACTACAACTCATGGATCGAGTCCGACAAAGGCCGAAAGCTCGCGAACAGCCTGCCGAAGGACACAGTCATTGTCGAAGGCTACAAGGAATTCGACACTGGGCGCGAATACATGTGTAAGATGGGGGATTGGCGCGAAAACAAAGATGTTGAGGTTCAACTGGATGGTATTGGTGGTGTCAACATTCTGGTCAAGGCAGACGTTCATCGATCAGGTTTGTGGTCACAGTATATCGAGTTCCATTACGTCGCGACTAACATCGGCTTTAGGCATCAACTTTCCAGCGTATGCCTTCGAAAACCAGGCCGAGACCGAGGGCTTTGCCAAGATGGCTAAGCGTGCCGGCTATCAAGTCATTGGTCTCCCAAACTACATCGTATGGCATTACGATACACAAGAGAAGGGTGGTAACTTATGATGAGAGCCGCATTCTGGAGAGCAAGTGGAGTTGATTTTTTGACCTAACTTATCTACCGGACGACTCTCGACCTGCTCACTCCATACACGCACTCATGACGTTACGCCGTTAACGTTTCCAACATTTTTTTCAGACCACTCGACCGACGTTCACCTTCAAGTTAAGCTTGGAAATGAGCAACAAAAATTATCCTTCAGCGAGTAACTATTTCGTTTGATTCGACTCGATCTGTCGTGTATTTAATACGGTCAATGTGGGCGCTAGGGGTATCTATTGGTGGAAGTGGTTAAAAGTGAAGCAGATGCTTCCTGTAATATTTGGGAACTGGCTTCTTATTATTAGTCAGGAAACGCGCTGTGCCATGAAGACTCAGTACCTAGTAATGTGTGTTAGGAAGAGGAGCTTTACATAGAGGGCGCTAATGGAGCCAGATGTAATATAGGTAGATAGTATGGGCCGTTTTCCGGAGTCAAGGATACACTGATGATTATCATCAATATAATTAGCCGATGAATTTCTCATCGGCTGCCTACTAATGCTTGAACATGAGTCGACGAACATAGATACTATACCTAGGTACTTTCTGCAATTCCAGCATGTCAAGAAGTAGAGAGGCGGAAAAGTGAGTACTGTTTTATAAAAGAATAACTCAAGCATGAGCATACTAAAAGAACCAAGCTATTACACCTGGAGTTCATCTATCATATCTCACTTGCGAATAGCCTCATATTTGGTCGGAGTGACGGGGGTAATTGAGATCGGCCATGTGAATATTGCGTCACATGAGACGGGTGCATGAGCGATCTTGCAATTATAGCAGACAGCCCCACAATATGCAATTAGGGGGAAATAGCGGGCAAGGCCCAGGTGCCGTCATCACACAGGCAACGATAAGAGTCCCGCAGGCTACCTTTAACTCTACACTACCTAGGACGACGACGCTGACGACAACGAGCACCACAACCTACGGGGTATATTGCGCTTCTTATCCATTTAATACTAGAAGCTTCCGATATCCTGTGTAGCCCCAGTGGATTTATTCTCCTGGAGCCTGACCCCACTACCCGACACTTGAGTCGAGGCTCATTACGCCATTTTCTGCCCCGACACTGCACGACAAGATCGCCCAACAAGAGGAACAGGACTCGCGCTCCTATTCCTTCATCAAACTCATATTTCTCCCCAATCTTGACAGATCAGCAACTGTAAACATGTGGGGTTGGTTTGGTGGCGCCGCGGCCCAAAAACGCAAGGACACGCCCAAGAATGCGATCCTCGGGCTGCGAGCGCAGCTTGACATGTTGCAGAAGCGCGAGAGACATCTCCAGACCCAGATCGACGAGCAGGATGCTACCGCACGCAAGAATGTGAGCACCAACAAGAACGGTACGTGATCATTTCAATGAGATTCGTAATGCGGGGCAGAGATGCTGATCTATATGATAGCGGCCAAAGCGGCCTTGAGGCGCAAGAAGACACACGAGCACGCGCTCGAGCAAACCGTTGCCCAGATCGGTACACTAGAGCAGCAAATCAACTCGATCGAGTCCGCCAATATCAACAAGGAGACTCTGGCAGCCATGAGCAACGCCAACGCGGCCATGAAGCAGATCTATGGAGGTCTTACGGTGGACAAGGTTGATGCGACAATGTACGTTGACGCCATGCTTATTTATGCCAGTTTGTATGAGATGTGTCCTTGGCTAATCCGAAATTACAGGGACGAACTGCGTGAGCACAATGCAATGAGCGATGAGATTGTCAACGCAATCACCTCGAACTCATTAGGCGAGCCGATCGACGAGGATGAGTTGGAGAACGAATTGGATGAGCTACAACAGGAGCAGCTCGACGAACAGATGCTCAAGACGGGCACCGTCCCCGTGTCAGATGCTGTGCATAAGCTACCCACACCGGCTAGGGAAGAGCGTATGTGCCCTTGCTCAAGTTCTCTTTTGTGTAAATACTAACATCATACAGCCGTGTCAAGCAAGAAGCAGGCAGTTGAAGAAGATGACGAGGAAGCTGAACTTCGGAAGCTGCAGGCTGAAATGGCCATGTGAGATTGTTAATAGAGGAATTTGATGTTTGCATAGCATTTGGTTGGCGGGGACTGAGGGCGAAGCTGCATTATATGTGGCGTTTTCATCTACCACAGACAAGAGATGGCCTCGTGGTATTCGGAGCTTCCCGTGCCCTGGCGGATTTGTGGTTCTATTGTGGGTGTTATTGTCGGCGTCGGCGTCCAAGGTTGTTGTTGATCTTTATCGTTTACGAAACTCTTTCCATCTTTCGCCTGGCAATTCGGCTTGAGCATCGTGACCGCACAGAGGTGTTTCTGAGGACGGTACGCCTGGCAAGGATGCACTTGATAAGAGACCCGTGTGAAGGTTGACGAGCCTTGAAATAGGAGAGAATCTAGATCTTCAATGCGAATATATCCCGTAAAGTTGACCAAATCTGCTACTGAGATAATAAATTGCAGGCGATGAGAACACCCAGCTTGCATGATGAGTCGGGTGTTGTTACTGTAAGAGGGAGCGCGAATGGACATGAATACGGACAAGACATCAACAGATCTATGTCGTGGTAGCATAATAGATGATAGTGCTTATACCGTTTGGCTATGATGATACGAAGAAGGCCAAGACATTGTGGGTCACATCACTATTTGATTGATTCATAGACGCCGATTCGAACCGGACTGAAACAAGGATAAGGTCTCTTGGTCAGCCCCAATATTGTCTCTAGGATCTCGCGACGAACCGAAGGGTCCATGAACAGTCAAGACGAAGTAACGCTAAGATCTTTCAGCTGGGCTGGAGGTGACGGTTTCAGAGGAACTCTAAGAGGATAAGTCCACGATGACCACTCAACTGACTTCGAAACCAGCCAAGGCGTAAAAAGTGTAGTCATCACATCTACAATATCAAGCTTAATAAAGGTCGCCGATCTGTAGCAGAAGGAGAGGAACTACTAGTACCTTAGGGTGGCCTATACTAGGCCCCCAAACTGAGGCTATACGAACACCGTAATTGGACGGAGATGGCCTCACGTGATCAGTCATCATGTTTCCAGCTGGGGGATTGGCTGTGGTTGGCCTGTGGTTGGCTGTGAGTTGCTGACGCCCACAAGGGCTCTCCCGCGTCTAACGGCGCTACAAGAAGCCTCAGCCAGTCATAGCTCAAACTCTAACCGCCAAACAAAACGTCCACCGTCCGTCGAGTTTCGGATCGTCCAAGTACTTCGGCTCTGCATTGCACGCGCGCAAAAATAGAACGCACTTGCAGCAGGATATCTCGGATCCAGCCTCTTCCATAATGACGCAGAGAGCAATCGAGGGCCCGCTCTGGCGGTTCCATAGCCCTCGAGAGGCCTTGCACCTGAAGAGGAGGCTTGCAGATGCCACGACTTACAACGCCCAGCAAGCGCTGGCCTTACATGTCATGATCAGCTTGCGTGATGTAGCCGAAGACGGCGGCGGCTGCTGAGATACGTGTATGCTGCACGCCTATGCAAAGTCCAGTCCAGTCCAGCTCAGTCTTGTCTTCATATGCCCCCTTGTTTCCTAACGCATCCATCCGTTGTGACTGGGTTTCGCATTTTCTCTTCTCTTCTCTTCTCTTCTCTTTTTCCTCTGTCGTATCCTCTGTGACCGCTTGCACAAATCCTCACTAACTAATTTCTCCTTGGTTTTCTTTTCCCTTTGTTCCTTTGTCATTCTGTCACGACTGCTCATGAATCCACTTCGTTGAGATGCTGGCCATCTCCTTTAATAGGATACCATTCTCTTTAGGTGAGTTCACCAGCCCGACGTGCCCTGCCTAAAGCTCGAGCTGATTTCCGTTATTAGATGTTTCGTTGTAGAATGGCCAGCTGGCCATTTTCCTTCGTGCCGGCATGGTTGATCTTTTGTGTAACTGTCGTACCCGCGACTAATATCTCCAACGACTTCTCGAGTTTCATCCCCAGCTGTGCCGGAGAATGCTTCGCCTCTTTCCTCAACGTCAATTACGCTCAAAACGTTTGCACCGGAAAACCTCTGCTGGATTGTCTGTGTTCTCGAAGGGGCGCCTCGGGATTCACTCTCGGTGAGGGTGCAATGCAATGCATATCTGCTGAACGATCCATTGGTTACTGCTCCATAGTCGAAGCCAGTGGTATGTACTACGAACCACAGAATACACAAAGAGTGTGTCGCTTACACAGAAGCAGACAGAGTCATCGAAAATGCATATGATATATGCAATGGGAGACCTGGCGCGGTCCATCCTACTTATCTCACCATCACGGCAACATTAGTTTTAGCTCCTACGGGAGGAGTTGTGACTTTTCCCTCAGTGACTACCAAGACTACTTCACGGCCGGATACATCTAGCGCTATTCGTACGTTGCCGACAACATTGGTCATAGACACATCCTCGCCCCCTATTATTCCAAGACCATCGACGAAACCAGTTGGCTCAACAACACGATCAAAGGCCAGAGAACACTCTACGACTGATTCATCAGATGATTCAGATATCATCTCGATCACGGAGCCTCCGTTGACTAAGCCCACTACATTTGAGACTTCTACATACACCTCAACTTCGAGTTCAGAGTCCGAGACCACCACGGGCGTACAGGGTGGTGCTGGTGGGGCAAGCAAAGACGAGGACAGTGATGATTCAGATAAACTCTCCACTGAACAGGTCGCTGGTATTTCAGTCGGCGTCCTCGCCGCAGTGGGGGTTGCCGTTGGAGCTATTGTATTGGCAAGATGCCATCGACGAAGAAAGTATCCTCAGATCAAGACTGGTTTTCTTCCCATGAGGGACACCTGGGGTTATAAGCCAGATCGATCTGACAACGGTGGACATAATTCATGGATGGTTCACCAACTGCGGCCTGATTTGGATCCTCCAAATCACCCACCACCGCCGCCAACTTCCAACCGTAGGAGTGTCAAGCCTGAAGCCATTGGCGTAGCATTATCACCACATCCCTCGAGCCGCAACACGGCGGTGCATACATCTCCCCTGAGGCGACTATCAAAGCTGCTCCCTGCGAAACCGACCCTACCGGATATATCTGCCGGAGACACCAATGACAAGCCCTTGCCTATTCTCCATGCGGAGCAAGCTGACGGTAGACGCCCAGATGATGGACATTCATCGCGAGATGAGAGCTCTTCAATACCACCACCACCACCGCATACACTCGATGCTGCTGCTTGGGCAGGAAGATCTAAGCCGACACCACCCGCACCACTGAAGCTACAAATACCACAAGCCGAGAAACCGGCCGGACCAGCTGTACGGATGAGCAACCGTGAGAGTAACGTGACGGAGTTTGAAGAAGACCGTACGTCGGTATCTCCAAACGCCAGCACTCAAGTCTGGAGACCACCAACAACGCCTCTTTCAGCAACAACATATTATGTCGCTGACCAATACGGCAATTGGGTTCTGGGAAACACAAAGCGTGCTTCGGTGATTGCTCGAGGGTCGCAGGAGTCCAAGGTTTCTCAGGAGGGAGCACTAAGACCACCTAACAATGATAACGCCCCCCTTAGTAGTACGGAACGAGGCGGCACTAGATCGCTTGCTCCTCCAGCTGAGATTATTCCTGGTGGTGCACCGTCCAGACCTGGTCTACCTCGTCCACAGCATCCCTCCCCCTTCTTCTCTTCCCAGTCTCACCCAAGACGCAGCGCTTCCAATCGTCGTTCCATGACAAGACCACTGACTCGACCACGTGAAGACTCTAGCAGTAGTAGCGCCACCATCATCACCACCTCAACCGAGTCCTCCTCAAGCATTCCGTCTGTGGCACCAGAACAGCAAGTCAGCCTCTCTCCTGTTGTTGAATCTCCACAGTCAGTCCGAGCTCGTCAGCAGCAGCCTCAGATCCCCCCACGAGATCCTCGACGTGCCAGCCAGATGGGCAACTCTGGTGTCAGCGTCAATCCGCGAGCTGCCCCTCCTACGCGACAGGTAGTTTACAGCCCTCCTGGGCAGCCAAGCCCGACCTTGGGTCTGATGCAGCCTCCTAGTGCATACTACGCGGCACTACAGTCAAAAGCGCAGCTGAATGCGCAACCACAGCAGAAACCTCAACCAGCTGTTCAGGGCCTGCAACCCACCGACAACACAGGTATACAGGCAGCCTCATCGACAATGCGCATTGTGGAGCCCTCTCCGGAGCCAGATGAGACCACAGAACCCGCGAGTGTCAAAGAAGATCAGATCCGGGTGTCCCCCTTCTATTTTGACCCACCATATCCTCAACCTCTTCAGTCTCGCCAAACTTCTCAGCATCGCCGTTCTGCATCAGGGCCTCAGCCTCAGCGGTACCAACCATATCAGAGGCCTCCCTCGTTTCAACCTTCCCCTCGTCAACAACAGGCAGCCTGGCAACCTGTCCAGAGACTGCATCCACACAATCACCCGCAACAACAAAACCCTTGGCAGCCTACACAACGTACACCCACAGCATATCCGTCATTCCAGCAACAGCAACAGCAACAGCAGCCTTTGCAGTCCTATGAGCGCACATTCCCGCACCAGCAGCCCTACCAACAACCACAGATGTACCCTTCTTTCCAGCCTCGGCCAAGCCAGCAACCTTACCCTCATAATACCGGAGGTTACCAGTCATTTCAACCCTATCCTGCCGGACAGCAGGCTCAAATGCACCCCGTTCAATACCAGAGTTACCGCCCCCCGCAATCAATGAACCCCTCACTTGTTCATTCTGATAGCCAGGACTCACTCCTAGCTAAGCGCGTCGGCTTGGATCGCGCCGCTGGTATGACTATTGGTACAGACAAAACTGGCGCTTCAAAGTGGAATCGTGATATTCAAGACAAGACACCACCAAACCTTCCTATGTCGCCGCATTGGCAGCCGACATTGACCCCTACACGGCGAGGAGATGACCTGGTCTTGAACGTACAATAAAATGGAGATATAGAGATTTCGTCGACACATGCACCATCGTTCTTTTATTTCGTGAATTAGATCAAATATCAATTTTGTATAATAGCCAAGCATTTGGAAGCTATAATGAGCATTAGCAACAGTCATAGATGGAGGGAAAATGCCTTAGGACCGCACACGAATTCAGGGCGGAAATTATTGCATGCACCTATACTACACCACCTAGACATTCATTCTAATTCTATAGGTCACACTCTCTCATTAATGCTCTTCGTGTCCTTTAAGTGTGGTCTTTTCGCAAAGTGTTAGGTCCAGCTTGGGTTTCGTCCTTGTTCTCCTCCTTGATTGTTTGACCCATAACACATTCCCTCTCGACATACTGTCGAGGTTGTTGGGACGACTCACTCGGCGTACCCACTGGATCAAGCATGTCCAGTTCCAAGTCATGAAATGTCTGCTCACTGCTTTGGTTGCTGCGACGGAGACGGCTTCCATGCTTTCTTAAGCTCCCTCGTCTGAAGAATCCAGATGCGTTCTGTCGCATGTTATCAATATGGGATTCGAGCGCAACATCTAGAGCATCTAGACCTTGATCCAACGTATCACGATTGAGATGAACACCCGCATCAATGAGCTTATTTCGCCGTCGAATATCTTGCCACCTTGTCAGGTTACCCATTTCCAATACGTTCATTCGGCGGTTTTTGCCCATCGGGTTTCCTATCATTGTGGGCCGCCAGGCATAATCCTCTTCCATCAGTGCACGCAAGTCATTGGGCATGGAAGCTCGACGTTTCGAAGACCGCCGACGGGCTTGGGTAATTCTCTCCATCTCTTCTGATTTTGAACGAGGTATGATGAGCACATTCTTGAACCGGATGAGAACAAGCAACAAGAGGACAGTCAACAAGAAGAGTATCGCAGCTACGACGCTCGTGGCAACTTGTTGGCCAAGCTTCCGCGTTACATGACCGCCCAGCGCAGTTGAACCAGCTGCAAGTATGTATGAGAAGGATTGTATCATAGCGAATCCTGCTGTCACTCTCGGAAAAGAGGAGTAGTTGGTTCGACGCTGGTCTTGACCAGTGGGATCACGGTGGCGACCAACCATTCCGGGAGACAGATCCGATGTATCGAAGGTTTCCATGATGAGGCCGTTGCATTCCGAAATGGCGAGGGAGGATAGAAAACCTATACATAAGGCAAAAAAGGTTGGCACGCCAGAACTGATTGGCGGTCCTGACGAAACAGCAGCATAGCAGGCGCCGCCAATCGGAAGGGCAATAGTAAAGACGGCCCGGCGGACTAGATGTGAAGACCATACTATTTTTTTGCCTAGAACCTCGCGGTTAACTTTATTTTCTCGGTTGCGAGATCTGGAGAAGATGCTGGCCTTTTGGAAAGGAATTGCAAGGAGAGCGCCGAGTGCAACGGCGGCGACATGAAGACCGACATATGGCGATCTGAGATGATAGAAGCGAGATACGAGTGAGCCCAGCAGAATGATGACAAGAACGACTTGTGCATAAATCCAGGCGACGTATATCGCTACAACCGCGAAGCCAGGTTGTTCAAGCATCTCCAAGGATAAACGAACCCCATGGTATGCTTCCTGTCCCCACCACTTTGGACCTGTCTTGACTCGATGCATCATCACTTCTCCTCGAGCCAGACGACGTGAGATGTCCCCCCCTGTTCGGACTTCTGCAATCGAACGTCGGAATGCAGATCGTCGGACCTCGGGGCATATCACATTGAGAATCAAGACAACTGCAATCATCATGATGCTGATGTAAAAGCCCCATGCTGGCGAATGTTTATCAATGATAGCTGCACCAATGAGAAAACCAAGTCCAAGAGATCCAATCCAGCACCAGGTCCAGATACCAAGCCAAATACCCATGCCACCACCATGTCTTCTTGCATCGAAATGATCGACAACCTCTTCATGGGGATGCTGACACATTAAGGAAGCGCCAAAAAGGTCCGTCAGAACTGAGTGAAAGTTCATAGTCGCAAAGCCCAAAGAGACACCCATTAGGGTACGAGAGGCCAACAGCATTGCCCTCCAAGACGCAGTGTTGGTCAGCCTGGGACTGCTGACTGCAATTGCCTGTGGAAAAAGAAGAGGCATTGCAATAATGAGACTTGACATTATGTATGGCTTCCGACCATGGAGTAAAGGCAATGGCCAGAGAAAGAAGGACGGAATAGCAAGGGCAAGGAAACAACCGGTGTTGCCGTGAACAGTGACATGTGATTGATCCACGATATAATACTGGATTGATGGGACTAGGCCCGTATAGATACCAAGTAGTACTCCGATGAGCGCTGTGCTCAAGCAGGCAGTAGATGCTACAAATCGCTTGCGAACGGGTGACTAGTCCCTCGCAATCGGTTGCCTGATGTGCGACTTTGGAAGGCTGAAACCTTGCATGTCCCGTAGACTCACGTGCGATCGCTTTCGAAGATTAATACCATGTTCGCCATGCAGTCTTCTCCCAGCAATGTTATGTTCTGGTAGAGCATCATGACTGGTCCCACTTCGAACGGCTGCTGAAACCTCCACAGCTGCCGAGCGTTTGCGAGCTGTTGTTTGTTTTTTGACGTCCATTCCTCCAATATCAAGAAGGGCAGTTGTGCTGCGGAGATCGTTCAGCATAGCTGGCCTCCGTCTACGATCCGTCTTGAACCCTTTGTTAGATTTCCGGGACTTTCTGCTGAGTGAAGAACGTCGTGAGGTGCCGCTTTGTTGTCTTCGTGCAACCTGAGTCCTTGTTCGAAGCTCCTGATAGGTTCCGGAATAGCTCTCAACTACATCGGCCAGCCGCGGGCGTTTGGGTACGGCAGTGTAAGTGGCAGCACGCCTGCAGCCTGGCCTCGCTGGGTAGGCCATATCTGCTCCATCTATAGGAATTGTTCCAGCGTTTTCTTGGGGTCTGTCGCCCATCGACATGTTTGATTCGTCCACACGATCGGCGCCATGCTCCTTCGATGCGGCAGGGTGACTAGCATGAGCTGCGGCTTCCGAATGGTCCGCAACCTCCAGGGCGAGGGAGAGAGCTTCATCGAGGAGCCTCTCGAGATCGCTGAATGCACGTTTGAACAGTACCCCGTCAACTCCAGGGTCAGACTTGCCAGATAGAGTCGACCAGGCGGAAATTCTTCGCAGAGCCATACTGCTTGGCAAAACAGGCTCTGATGGACGTCGATCATCTGATCTGATTAGTTTGATTCCAGGCCGAGGCTTGGTAAGATGTGAACCGTCTGACTTTGCTGTGCGCGATAGTCGCTTGAGCCACTGACTTTTCCATAAACAGCTCATAATAGATCCCGAGGATTGACTGCGGACTGGTCTGTTTATGTTTGTAGCTAATAAGCTCTGGTCTTCCAGCAGAGATAACTCTGGATAATTGGTGTCGTGAGAGCTGTTGTTTTGGACGTATGAGCCATGCAGCTGTGTGTCTGACGACGGCATATTGTGTAGGCATGTGTCTGTGCTGAGCGACGAGAAGCGTCCAGCATCCTGGTTACCAACACTCGAAGCGTTTGTAAGGACCGCATATTTTTCTGGAGAAGCGATACTTTTGTCTTCTGAAGCACTTCCGCCAGGACAGTTCATGCCTGTCTTTTTCCAGCCCTCATCGGTTGACATATTTAGACGATTTCTGCAATCGCTCAGAAGGAGGTCAAAGGTCGGGCCCAGTTTCACCAAAGGAGACTGGGACTTCTAGTCTTTATTCGATAAGATACCCCTTGATCTAGGCGGGTTCTGTTCCAAGGTTGGCCGCTGGCCAATCTCCCCTGGTGATGACTCTAGGTCAATATCGGTGCACAGAATCCCTGTAGTCCCTGAAATATCTTCAACTTCGGGATCATTCTGGCCTCCCACAGAAGATTCTAGAGGACTGTGCTGTATTGTCATCCCGTCCTGTGATAAAGAAGTTTTGAGGTAAAGGGGGGCAGGTATAGCGCCCAGAGTATTTATTGTTTCTGCCGAGTCTTCGGATTGCCGAGTCTTTGCAAGAGGAGTCCACGTATTTGTGCCAGAAACTTCTGAATCGGTCAATGGTGATTGAAGTTCCCCAAGAGGTGCGGTGTCGTGCTTTTCTCTCAACTCTTTGATAGCCTCTGGTCCCATATCCTCGCTTCTTGTCATGTCCACGGATACGCGTGAACTTGGAGGAGGAGTTTGATCGAAGTCGCCAACGTCAGTACCGATGTGATTGTTAGAGTTCCCTTGAGGGAGAAAGGCCACAGTGTGGCCGATGAGGTTAGAAAACATGATGGAGTTTCACGTGACGTGTGCTAAAGCAGACGGCCGTGTCGAGTGTTGGACGGTGGCGAAGAAAGTGTATCGCGATGACAAGGGGATTTACGCCGTGGAGTCGATGTTCAACTAGACGCTGTGTTGGAAAATTGTTGAATTTAGAGAAGTATTGCTGACGATTGCTTGAGCAGATGTAATACTGGATCAAGAGACTCGGTCATCGAACACGAGGGCACTCCCAACAAGGTCTAGGCTGAACACAGGAGGAGAATGAAGATGAAGACTAATGATTCTATCATGTATGTGTAGAAACGGTTGCTAGGATGCGGAAGACGGAAAAAGGGAAAAGGGTGAGGGGAGAGGCCGTTGTTGATGGAGTTGATGTAGAGTTACAAGTCAGGCCCCTGAAGGGCTGACGGCGGCTTTGCCTTTCCCAGTTTCGCCGAACCTGCCTTCCATTTCACTTTCACTTTCTCTCATCATTTCCGTTATGCAGGAAGGAGCGATTGAACCAAGGCCAACACCTCGTTTCCTGGCATCAGATAACAAGGTACAGTAATATTTTAGTTTGGGCCCGGGCTCATCATGACGACATGTTGAGCTGCACTGCCAAGAAACCTGACTCGCGTGTAAGGCTGAACATGATACAGAGTCTGATGTGACTGTAGCTGAGTTTCAATAAAGGACCCTACATGATACAGGCCTGTTCTATAGAGCGGAACAAAGACCCAGCAACTGACGTCCCTCACAGAATGACCCCTACTCACAAGCGCCAGCCGCCCCAACCCCCTAGCTGGGACGGCTCACCCCTGTCCCCTCCAGAGGAAAAACGCCTTGAGCACTCCACCAAACGTCATGCCCCTGCATACAAACAGCCCGGCTTCGGCAAGCCAGGGATCATCTAGTTTAATTTCTTGGGGACTCTGGCCGTCAGCATGGAACCCAACCTCAGCCGTTTCTGACAGCTGAATCGTGCCATTCCTATTTCGAACTGATCCCTGGAAACGACCACGATGTAGCGTTACTACTTTGGCTCACCTCAGCCTTTGATAAGTTCTCCAAGCGATAGGCGAATCACCTTGCAATGTTCGCCAACTCCAAAGATGCAAGCTTCAGGTAGCTCTCCGTCATGTCAGCACCGTTTTGTGCTGGCCAATTGCATCTGAGTATCCGGGTTCCCCTTACACACTGCGTAATTTATCCAACCTTGAGCTTGGTTGTAAGCTTGCGATGCATCTTTGAACGGGGGTGTTACATCCTCCTGGAATTTGAATCTCGATTGTTGTGCTCGTGTTAGGAATATAACACTCGGCAGTATATGTTATCGAGTGCTAAGCGAAACCTGCAGCCTTTCCACAACGGCGTTGCACGGTCAGGTCCTAGTAACGTACGTAGAAGATCTCCTTTATTGGTACACAAACTCCTTGTTCATCTATCCAAAACACATACCCCAATATCCTTGGCAACCCGACTGATCGTCTCACACCCTGGAATAGTTCCCTGCATGGCGCCAGTGCGCCTAATCGCGCACCGCCCGCAAATCACACAAGCCCCCAGCCCTCCTTGTAATCTGCGTCAAAAGTTTCCTGAGTAAAACAGCCGAACTCCTTCTCAAGGCTGATTGGCCTTGCTCTCGCCGAGCGCACCCATCCTTCCCGCATGGCTCGATCTGGCAATCTACCGGGGTGGGTGGCCTAATAATAGGACCCGCTAACCTCGGACGTCATTACCATTGCCGTGTCCATGGGCTCAGACAAACTATCGAAACTGCAACCGCAACTGCAAGACTGTGACTCAACTTAGTCGATATAAGTGTTTTTAGCCCTTTCTGCCTTGTCTGTACGATGCACAAACTCAGCACTTAGAGCTGGTGGCTTAACTGAGGCCTCCCCATGGCACATCTAGCATTGCCGTTGCAATGATTTTTCCAGCGCCTCGAAGTCTTACAGCTGTGCTAGAGAAAGCAGGTAAAAGCTTTGAAGATATGGATGATTATAATGTGCGTGCACGTAACTATCTCTTTCGGCCGAGGCTCTCGAGGCTTGGTTGTGAAGTTGTGGAGAAGTTGACTTCATACGACCCACTTTGCCTGATGATCGAGAGGATGAGTTGAAACTAAGCCTCAGTAAAATAGGCACCAATCATGCTTCCTACTTTGGATATTCTTGCTAATTTAATGATGCACGACAAGAGTTTGAGAGTATTGAGCAGAGGGAAAGAATTGTCTTTTTTCATATCGTGTAACGTTCAACGTCACACTTCCTGTTGCTCGTTGTTCGATTGGGAACCCAGCTCCTAAGCCAAGAACATACGTACTACATGACCAGGGTGACTCTTGCAATCAATGCTTTGTTAGGTATAGGCCCAGGTGATGCAGTATGAAAACAAAAAGAATACATCGGAGATTTTGAAAGATCCTCTCCAAGAGAAATGAAATAATGGCCAGCCATCCGTTGTCCACATCTAATGCTACAAGCATTTTAGTAAGCCCCGCCAGTCCAAATGCAAACCGTAATAAAAGTCCCAGTGACCCTAAGATGTGGATTGTCCTTTGTCAAAAAAGACATCCACGGAGAAGAAGAAGAAGAAGAAGAAGAAGAAAATAAATCGCAGTACCGTATAGTCTGGGGGCGGAGACTTATTACCAGTAATGTCTCGGCCCATGATGCTCAAGAATAGAAATCCCACCGTCTAAAATCGCCGTGAGGCTCTCAGCACCTGCTGTTCCTAGATGTAATCCAATATCGCTGTATCCTGACTTGTTTCCAGCCAAGCGAAAATGAAGTCGCACCAATAAATCCATCGCTGTGAAAAGGGGAAAAAGGTCAAATAAGTAAACGCCATCCGACAATGTGAGTAGAGAGATTTTCCCTCCGTTGATGAATGCTGTAGCCGACCAGCAAATAAAGAACCACCGGCAAGTTCAAGAAAACAACGCCGTATGTTAAAAGAAAGAAAGAAGTGCTGGCGAAGGGAGAACTGCGATGTGAGTTGCTCTCCCCTACCGAAAAAAGGCATTCCGTCGTGATCGTTTTTATGTCCATATCATATCTCATTCCCATGCCCTCGGCAACGTTGCTGTGATCTCCATAACAGAAGTGGTCACCCACAAAACGAGGAGGCCCCAATGGGCGACGATAGAGCCAGGAGGTCTGCAAAAAGCATACGCCTAGCGGTGAACCTCATTCGGAACTCCACCAGTCCAACGAAATCCTGCTAGCAAAAAGGAGAGCTGCGATGGGTTGCAGGAGAGAAGGTAAAAAACCCAGTCGTCGAACTTGAATATTATCAGTCTCGGAGAGCAAGACACCACTGCCGAAGACAGAATCGTTCATCGATAGCTCTTTGAGCTCGAGTAGCCACTGTGGTAGCCACTGTCTGAGTAGCTATGTGGTGATGCATACTGAGCACCATGACTCGAGTGTGCAGAGCATAGGTAACCAACGAGGATCGTTCGCTGCTGGATGGGATGACCTGGGCGGCCGTATGCTGCGCAGCGATCAACAGCATGGGTGTAGTAGGGGCATCGGCAAGCCGAATAGAGCTCGACAAGTTGATAGCACATGATTGTGGTGGTGGTGGGCCGTGAAGATGTTGGCCTGGTGTCGTTGGTTTAGAATACAGGAAATTGTACAACCCAGTAAGATGTCTAATATGTGAACCAACAAAGGAAGAAATCGTTCGTGGTCTGGGTTCGTAATGAAGACAAGGGGCACTGAACAAGGAGGATGAAGCTTGAAGGCAAGACAGTGAGAATCAATGGAGAAACGCTTGCTTTATGAATCTTATGAATAGAGAGATAGGAAGTGAGGATAAGACAATTAACTTCCAAAGAGGCATCGCAGCCTTATAGGCCTGCTTGTAGCCTGGACGAGAGCATCGAAGGTCATAGAGACACACCCCGGTTC